CCGCGGCCCAGCACCCTCTGCGGGTGTTCATCGACAGCCATCTCCGGGTCCGATTGGGATGGCCGTATCTGCGGATTATGAGGCGGCTGGACAAGCTATTGAGATGCAGCCGCAGCCTAAACGCCTAGGCTCTGCTGATCCTGTGTCGCATGTGGTGACGTCCGATTCCCAGCCGCATGCAGTGTCAGCCGACGGTTATCCTGAGCCCATAAGCCCTACAAGCCTTTATAGCCGGACACCGTAAGTTATTCCTTTGCTCGGAGGTACAGATTGATCATGTATGATTGTATGTTTTAACAACCAAACAGTTCGCATAATCATCCGCGTGCTGGCTGGGCGCAAGCAGATGGCCCCGCCCACCACGCACCCTCGCCGGCGCATGGCTACGGCTCCACGCGGCAACACGCACGTTCGCCTTCAACCGACTATTTTGAAGATGTGGATCCTCGATTTGTGATCCCCAACGAGTCGGCAGCAGCTAACCCACCACGGTTACCTCCTGCCCTCACACCTGGTGCCATTGGTGAGCGGAAACCGACGGATGATTCGGCTGAGGCCCCTCACTCACCCACTACTAGTGAAGTAAGCCACTTCACTTCCATTTCCCAACGGCCTATCAACCCTCGCTGGCGCCCACCGCCTGTTCCGGCTCAGCAGAAGCATGATGTGCTGCTGGAGAACAATCCGGATTTTGACCTTCAGGCGGGTGCCGGGCGAGGAGGGCTTGCCGGAGTAGGAAGTCGGATGCCGCCCCTGTCAATACCTCGAGACGCCTCAAGATACCCCCTTCCATGAACATAGTCTTCAGTTCCGCGTTACACCATTGCCTCACTCTTTGCGATTGTCCGAATACGGGTCTTCCGGGGACTTACGATGCCTGTCGCTGGACGGGATCTTTTCTGGGACTGATGAACCTTTGTGTCATGTTCGCGCAGCATGGCATTTGCATATAAGCGCACTGCGTCTGTAGCTATGCTCACTACGGTTTGACATCGAAAAACAACAGATGTACATTCACCAAAGAACGCTTGATACCGTACGGACTGCTATTAGTTTATGATTGTTATGTTAGTCTCATAGGGATGATTACTATGTTATGTTTCCATTATTCCATCATGGTTTGCGACCCACCATACTTGATGAGGGTTGGAGAGACCATTTCACCCATAACTTTCATAACTTTCTTCTTCGGGCACTACGTAAATAGCGGGGATGTCGATGGGGGGTTGTCCCGTGTGATGTCTGTCTCAACTTAACTTGTCCGTGACATCATGAATGGAGTCATCAACTGGCATTCCAGGCATCTTGGCTACTTTTTTGCCTGAGAGCCTTCGTGCAGATCGTCTTGCGGAAATGAATGCCAAGAATGGATATCAAACTGCCCAGCTTGGCTCAGCACCTGAAGAAGCCGAGCTGCACGGTCATTGGTGGTCGAGCTCATTGCAGATCAAACGACAAGTTTGCGCCAGACTCGCGTTTTATCACCCTATTGCATGAGAGATCCAGGAAATCACGGAAAGAGAAAAAACAAGCAGAAACACAGGGTTTTGAGCACTTGGGAACGAGATTATTGTGAGCCCATCCCGCAACTGTCTCAACTGTCTCGTGACTTGTCCCGATAGAGAACTGCTGACAGGCCAAGTGTCTCGTTTTCGGCATGAAGATGATTGATGTCTGCATCTTTTCGAATGAGAGAAAGGAACGCTTCCGGACAACTCTTATCTGCCAAGATCCCGCTGGCTGTCCCGGTCAGCCTTTGGCGAAACTTTCTTGAACTGGATCTTGGCTTATGGTGATCGACATATGTCTAGAGCCTCCCGGGGGCTTGGGGGTCATCGACGGAGCCAAGTTACAAACCTGTGCCAAGGGTTTGCCAAGCGGCTCCCTCTGGCAGACGATGTGATATGTCCAATATCATGCAGACTGAGACCGAGTTCGCTGTCGCCTGATTGATTTGGACATGGTATATCCATCTCCAAATCTATGTGTCGCGCCAGGATGATGCAGGTATGCGATGGACATTGGGCTGATATCTGAAACCGCTGCTTCGGCGGTGTACCACGACATCCGCGGCTTCTGGTAGGCATGCGTCTCTCCAGACGAAAATATCACGGACACATGGTTGCACTGGCTCTTGATGGTGCCTTGGCGTGGAGGCAGTATGGTGGGGATAGCAAACTTTGTACGAAAGGCGACTGTATATAGGGATGGCCATGGTTTGGCTCCAAGGATGAAGGCGGCAGCTTCTCAGCCATTCTTCTCTTCATCGGCGCTGGTCTTGGGTGCCTGTCTCAGTTCATCATGCATCAATCTCCCGCCGCTGACATTCAGTCCGCTCCGGCAGCTGTCACGGCATATTCGAGACATCTGCAGTTCAGCGAGGACCGAGGTGGCCTCTGGTCCTCAGGCAACAGCACGATTGTCTCCCTTGCTCAATCGAACGACGACGGAGAGACAACCTCCTACGGCAGATTAGCTCGTCATCTCCAGTCCGAGATCGATATTGCTTATGCCGATATACCTTTGATCGTCTGCGGGTTTGTAAGTGGCCTGGTGGACGGACTGTCCTTCAATGCCTGGGGCAGCTTCTCTAGCATGCAAACAGGTATGTATCAACAATGTCCTACTTTGTTTCACATCTCGGATACAGCAATCCCCACGTCACATCTGTCTCAGCCTCCTAACTCCTTGCTGTCCAGGGAACACCGTCTTCATCGCCCTCGGTGCCTCTGGGCAACCGAGATACCCAGCCTACCTGTGGGCCAAGTCCCTCATCGCGCTCTGTACCTTCGTCGCCAGCAACATCATTTTCATCCAGGCGTCCCGCCTCCTCGGCCCACCCCGCCGTCGCTCCTCCCTCATCCTCTCCTTTGCGGTTCAGTCGATCTGCCTCTTGGTCGCCGCTCTCCTCGTGGAGCTGAGGATTGTCTCGCCCCGCCCCGAGGACCCGCGTGCGCCAATCCAATGGATGCAGATCATCCCCATCTCGCTCCTGGCCTTCCAAGCGGGCGGGCAGGTCTGCGCCTCGCGCATCCTGGAGTTCGACGAGATCCCAACGGTGGTGCTGACCAGCCTACTGTGTGATCTCCTGGTGGACCCAAACCTGCTCGCCCGGAAGAACCCCAAGCGGGACCGTCGGGTCGGGGCGTTCCTGGCCCTTTTCCTGGGTGCCATGACTGCCGGTGGGCTCTCCAAGGTAGCCAGCCTAGCAAGCAGCCTGTGGTTTGCCTTCGGGTTGAAAGTCATGATCACCGGGGCATGGACGGTGTGGAAGACAGAAGGGAGCAGGAGGGTGGGGAAGGGTGGGGGGGGTATAGTTTGATTTGTTGGTTCGATTTGCTTTTACTCTTTCCCTGCTTTCTTATGTTTTTTTGAGGGGGTGCTGGCAGGATGTTATGACTTGATGATTTTTCCTTGGATGGCGTTGACGTTACGCTTATGACCTGGTGGGCGAAAATGTTTTGGCTGGATAGGTTGCTTGGGCGGGCGTAGCTTGGTTGGCGCTATGCTATATTGTGATGATTCCCCGGACATGATACCTCGGATCTGATCAGCTCACGTTCGCTTTCCTTTGGCCCTTACCTGGGCTACTCTGTTTGGGGATGAGTTATGCCCCTGATTTGGTGAGATACCACCAGAATCAAATTTACTATGTATTTACTATCATCGTCAGCCACCCCGAGTGCTATAAAAGCTACAATTCCATTCCATGGCGTGCAAAAAATGATTCTAGTCTGTAGAGGTCGTATTGAGTATTCCACTTTCTACATACGCCTAGAACCCTTCCCTTTTAGTATTGTTATAAGAGCCTACTTGTCTGCAGTGGGTACTAGGGGCTGAGCCTGTAAGGTGCACTAAGTTAGTGAACATTAAGTAAGCCGGTGAGCGGCCTTATTGTAGTACAGTACTTTCCTTTTGTAGTTCTTTTCTATAACAAACCGCGATGAACAGTACACGGCATCGCTTACTCCACCAATCTACATATAATCCAATATCTGTCCTTATCTATCTCCCGCCTTCTTACAGGACCAATTTGGCAGTCTATCAGCATCGTGACTTCTATTCTCCACGATCGGATTGAACGGACAGTATGAGTACTTTCAGGATACTTACGCGCGGATCCCGCCCGAGAAAACATACTACCTTCTGCCCTACCGTAGTGCTTCTGCCCACCTCACCAATAGATGCATGCCAATGCGACAGTGAAACCCCAGAATCCAAAGAAGGCGATGCGCCTACAGCGACTAGCCTATTCTTCCAGGACTAGTAGATACGTGCCAGATCCTTCCGCCACTGACGCAGTTCACCCTGCTGTAGGGCTGAATAGGCCAAAGGACCCACCCACTCTGCCATCGTTGCTCTAGACACCCCCCTCCGTCATTACTCTCGGCATTCTGGCTCCTGCATGCTGACGACGGCATTGTCCCACCTTGAGCGTATTTTTGGTTTTGTTCAATGGTCGAGATTTGCGTCCGTCTTTTCTTTCAGACGGGTTGCTATGAACTTTACTGTGTAGACTTACCAGAGAACATAGAGTTGTGGAGTTCGGAAATTAAGCGGCGGGTGGGGTGGATCGATTTAAAGGTTGGGTCTGAAAATTGGGATCATTCAACGATTGTAGGCCTTGCCAATGCCGTTGTAATGGGATTGTGATACAATCGGTATATATGGAAAATGCTGTTCTATGATGTCTTTATACACTTGAGTTCTTGAATGAAGGAATATGAATGACATCTGCCGTGCAGAGAATGCAAACAACAGTTTCTTCCATTGTCACCGCCACGTAAAAAGCGGAACTAAAAATACTCGTACCCCGTGGCCCAGCCACACGCTAAACCCAGTCGGGTAAAGAATTTACACGGCGGGTAGTAAAAGAACGCGTAGGCAACCAAACCGCTCGCTCATGTGAGGAAAAGGGAGCCCAGACTTTTCAGACAGATAAATACTCATACTTTTGTCGAAGGCTTTCTGCGGTGGCTCTCTTGACACTGCGCGACAAATTACAGACTACTCCGTACCTTCTTACTACGCAAGAACAGTCTTCCATCCACCATGGCACCGTCTTACATGCTCCTCGATCAACGGTCCTACCACTCAGCGGGGCCGCATCTGATGAAGCGCGATCTCAGCGTCACCCACGCCCAGGCAGTGACCCTCGGGGTGATGGGTGCATACGTTGTCGTCATCGCGTTGCTTTGGAATCTGCCCTATGTTCGCTGGTCGCTTTGGCCGTTCAAGGTGAGAGAATTCAACGAACGCATAACTTTGCTGCAATCTTGCCTTCCTCGCTTCTTTTGGGGGGTTTCTTCTTGCTGACTTGCGACTGAAACAAAAAAAAGATGCTCGTCATCGCGTTCCACGAGTTCGGCCACGCCATCACCGCATGCTGCACCGGTGGCCGCGTCAAAAGCATCTCGCTAGACCCGCACGAAGGTGGCGTCACGCACATGTCGGGCGGAATCAGCGCCGTGACCCTGCCCGCCGGCTATCTGGGCTCGTCGATCATCGGATCGCTGTTGATCTTCGCCGGGTTTGACATCGTCGCCAGCAAGGTGGCCAGTATCGTCTTGGGGGTGTGCTTTCTGCTCACCCTGTGGTGGGCGCGCAAGGATTGGCTCACGATCGTCACGATTCTCCTAGCCGTGGGGCTGCTGGTCGCGTGTTGGTTCATCGCCCATGGCCAGGCTCTGAAATGGGTGGTGGTAGGTCTTTCCCTTAAAATGAGAGGGGGAATTCGCGGCTAATTGGATCTGCACGTAGCTCTTCATCGGTGTTATGTCGGCCCTTTATAGTGTCTGGGATATTGTAAGTCTCCTTTTTCCCTAAGTGGTCGTGGTGCTTTTGTTTGCCTCGTTCGGTACTGATAGTTGTTGTTCTCGGGATAGTGTGACGACTTAATCCTTCGCAAAGTGAATACCTCGGACGCCAGCCAGTTCGCCAAGCGGTATGGTGGCTCTTCGCAGTGCTGGGGGGTCCTCTGGTCCTTCATTTCCCTCGCGTTCATCGCGATTGCGATTGTTGCTGCCATTGCTGCATTCCGCGAGTCGTTCAGTCAGCAGGAGAAGGACTCTCAGCACTTTATCCCGACACGGTGAACGGGACTTGTATTCGTGTTGCGAATGCAGCCTTGATGACTTATGAATATTTGTCCGTGTTGAATACCCCGCTTGAGAGGAACGCAGGCTGTCGCTGTGCATGATTTTGTTGTGTTTATCGTTTGTTAGCGCCTATTTCCGGATCTGCTGGGCAGATGAGATGGGAGTAGTTGCATTTCTAGTCTAAAGCTTGAATCATGGCGTGCCATCCGCGATGTTGATACGCCTTTTTTGGGGAAGGATCACAGTCTGAAGTGTTGCCAGACTTTAACAGTACCTTCTCATGCAGCAGATAAATAGAATTGTTTCAGGAATCCTGTAGAAATTATCATGGGCATTTGGAAGTTGACCTGAGTGTCGGGCCTTCAAAATCTTAAGTTCATCCGTCGGATGGCCCCAGGCCTTGTTGGTTTGTCGCGCCGGAACCTCCCCCAAAATATATCCGCTGACCCGACCACATCAACATCATCAACATCCGCACCTCTTCCCAATCTACCCAGCCCTTCCCACCATAATCGCCCATATAACGTGGCCATTGAGCATCATCCTATCCCACCCCCTCCTAAAATGCCATGATCTCGACCAGACTTTACTTTAATCAGCAATGGTGGACTCAGGTACCCCCCAAAAGACCCCGCTAGCTGTCCGGGCCGGGACGCCCAAAACCCCGTCCTGCGTGGTCTGTAACAGGCGCAAAGTCCGATGTGATCGTCAGGACCCTTGCTCCGCGTGCGCGAAGAATGGAACTGAATGCATTTATCGAGCACATCCGCCTCCACGACGGCGCAAGAGGCGCCCCTCGGATGAGGCCCATCGTCCAGCCAGTCCACAGCGCCCCCGACGTGCCGGACAAAACACCGGCTCGTCTGGCCCTAGGGGTGATACTCAGGGGCTGCTCTCGCCCATGACCATGTCGAACACGTCTCTTGCGCCCACCGGGAATGACGCGGGTATGTTGATCGCAGAGGGGGGGAAGTCGGTCTATGTCGATGGGTGAGTTGGCTCATGTGTAGCAGAAACTAAATGCCTCAGGATTGGATTAGCTGACTGGTCGGCTAGGAATATGTGGTCAAGTATCCGCACAGAGGTATGGAAAGATCACCACTCTGGGCCAGTGTCTTTGACATAAGAATTGATGCTAAACTGTTCTAGCTGCCACCCGCGGAGGACGTGCTACGCGATGCGTCGGTCTACAGTGATTCGGACCCGTCGTTAGAGGGAACAGATGACGAGCCTTCTCTTATTCTAGGTGCACGCCCGAAGACGCAGATCACGGACTTACATCCCGAGCCGTTGCATATCTTCAAGCTCTGGCAGGTCTTTCTGGAGAACGTGCACCCCTTGATCAAAATCCTGCATGGACCCACAGTTCAGCAGCAGATGATCGATGCCATCGGGGATCTGAGCGCCGTCCCGAAAGAGCTTGAGGCGCTTATGTTCTGTATATACTGTATCGGGCTGATCTCGATGGCCCCGCATGACGTCCAGAAGGCTTTCGGAGACAGCAAGGCTGTCCTTTTGTCTCGCTTTCGTCGGGGAGCTCGACTTGCTCTGTCGAATGCTGGCATTCTACGGACGTCGGATGTTGTGGTTCTTCAGGCGTTTCTGTTGTATTTGGTACGTGCCCATTTTCTAACATGCATGGAGCTATGGCCGGTGCTTCTCTTTCTGCTTTGAAGCGCGTATCTGAAGTCAGGTCGGTCATATGTCTAACAATGGCTTGTAGCTTGCAATGCGAGCATTCTCGGATCCACAGTCCATCTGGTCTCTATGCGGTGTCGCTATCCGGGTGGCACAACGTATTGGACTCCATCGAGATGGCTCCCACCATGGGCTTTCTATCTTCGAGACCGAAATGCGTCGACGCCTTTGGCTTCAGCTAAGTATACTAGACGCAACCACGGCACAGCTTACAGGCATCGCTGCCCAAACATCTCTGATGGCTGCCGATGTGCAGCGTCCGGCGAATGTCAACGACTGCGATCTAGACCCGCGGATGACCGAAAGGCCTCGTGACCATAGTGGAGTGACCGAAATGATCTTCTGCTTGGCCCGCTGTGAATTTGGCGAGTGGCTTGCTCGATGGTCGGGAAAGTCAGGCACCTTGCCAACGGGTCAAAGCTTCTTGAGCGATTCCACCACCTCACTAGCTGAGAAGGATAGAGCGATTGATGAGCTTAGCCAGATCTATAAGACGAAATACTTGAAATACTGCGACACCTCGATCCCGCTGCATCAGATGACTAGCATCGTGATCCATGCGATCACATCTCTGCTCCGTTTCTCTGCACATCACCCCCGCCAGCACGCTGAACAGGGAAGTCATAATTCACAGTCCGTTCAAGATCGAATCTTCTCAAGCTGCGTGCGCATGGCCGAGAACTGTGATCTTGTGCAGACGAGCGATATCACCCAGCGGTATAAGTGGCATGTAGAGAATCACATTCCCTGGACACCGCTGATACACATGCTCTATGAATTACGGAATCGTGTCGATGGGAAAGAGTCGGACAGGGCATGGTTCCTCATCGACCGGATCTGTAGTCGACATTTTCGCGGGTTGCAGGCGCGACAACAGAGGATAGCGTTCAATGTGGCTTTGCAGAACTTGATTCTAAAGTCTTGGAAGGCACATGCGGCAGAGCGGGCTCGTTGCAGCAGGCCTCCTCTTCCATGTCCTGCTATTGTGTCTACGATCTGCGACATGCAGGGCAAGCAGCAATTGGCCGCTAATGATCCCAATGCAGAAATCTCTTACGAAGAAGCTCCGATAGGCGTTAGCAGCCGAGATCAGGATCAGCTTGTCGAGGCAGTCTTTCCTAGTGGACAGGGACTCGGGACCCTTGATCTGGACCAGGCCAGCGATTCCAGCCCCATGGATTGGACGCAGTGGGATCAGTTGCTTGAGGATTTCCAGCACCAGTACACGAATGATGGCGGACCCCACCTCAACGTGTACTGAGTATGGATGAGGATTGCCACTGTTTCAGCGCGCGAGACATGGTGTCCACTGTGACGATATCGTACCCCACTCGATCGCGTCTCGGGTCGGCACGGAGTACGCATTGTTGCTTTGTATGTGTATCATGGGTTTGTAGTGAGCCGCTGCACAACATAATTTGAGGCCGGCCTCACCTCAAATTCAGCACCGGCACAACTCATTGCAGCATTCTGTTTCCTGTATTGCTTCTTGGGTCATGGTGACACATTTTGGCGAGAGTGGTGATCCAAACGCGAGTCGGGTCCACCAAGCGAAGATCGGACCCATATCTGATTTCATCCCGGCTAAGCATTTCCCCAAGAGGCAGATGAAGTAGCTGAATAATCACAACCTGAATCCTGCCTTTCAAAATGAGCGCCAAGCGGACTCCTCGAACATCATTGAAGACCAAGTCTCGATGGTCTTGACCCCTACTGACAATGAGCCATTTCCTTGAGCACCTGCGTCAAGTTGTGCGGCAAGCCAGACGGCATCCGTCGTCTCAGCGGCCCAGAAAATCTCCCATGTAAATCGCAGACCCATATGTCAACAAATAACTCGTTGCACCCGCTGACTCAAAGCATAGAACCTCAAAGCCTGCGAGAAACACTCGCACAGCTTGGGAGAAGCTTCCCGTGGATGTTTTAGTGAAGATCCTGGTACAATGCGAACTGGAAGAGATCCATTCCTTCTCGGCTACATGCCGCCTCTTACACCAGCGGGTCTATCACAATGAGGCTGCTATCGCCAAAGCTTATCTCCAACATCGGCGGCGAGAGGACCCATACCACCTTCAAAGGTGCCAGGAACCCAACATTGCCATCGGCGACGACCTCACTTTTGTGTCTGATCTCTTCCCGCCCCCGCCTCCCCACTACACACCGAGTGGCACGCTGGAAGAATCGCCTGACTACTCTTTCGGCTACCTGACCGATCTCACGCGGTGCTGGCGGACCTGCGTGCGGCTGTCCTTCTACCTGGCCGAATATCTGGTGCAGCATTACCTCGAGACCGACCCCACGGCGCGGGAGCTATGGGCCTCCTCCAAAACGGAGAAGGAGTTCGTCTACAGCAAGGGCGTCGGCGCACTGCAAGCCCGCCTGCTCCCATCCATGTATGCCCTCACCATCCCGGGTTTTTATTAAGGTCAAGGCTAATCCTCCATATCCCAGAACCTACCTCGTCTACTTCCTGGAATCCTGCGCCGACACCACCACCCCAACCCACTCCCTGGACTGCCAGGAACGCATCCTCCAGGAACCCCCCTTCACCGACCCTGACGTCCTGCTCTCCACCCACCACACCATGCACACCCTCATTCACACCGTGCGTCACCTCATGGCCCCGGACATCCCCTACACCTCCTCCCAGACATGGGTCAGTCTCCTGCTCACCACCTCCACCCTCGAACGCATCGTCGATCTCTTCGTCGCTGTTGCGGCCGATTCCAACCAGCAGCAGCCAGACCCCAGAAAGAAAAAGGAGAAGCATGACCACCAGCGCCAGCACCATCACAGCCATAGCCCTAACAACAACCACAACGACCATCCACCTATTCAAACACAATCACACCCCCATACCCATACCCCCCACCGCTCCGAAACCGACACGCACTGGTCCCACCGCATGGACTTCCTATGGCACATGCGCCGCGACTACGGGGACTACCTAGCGGCGCTGGTGGGTGACGACCAAACCGATGCCCCCGACACCGGCCATTCGGGCATGGTGCCCCGGCTGCAGGAGATCTGGTTCGCGGCGGCGGAGCGGGCAATCCGTGAAAGGGGGCTGGCGGCGCATGCGCCCGAGGTGGTAAGGGTACTGCATGGTGGGGGGCCGCGGTTGGGGTGTGCGGTTTGTTTGTAGGTTGGGTGATTTGGGTTGATTCGGGATGTTTTGGGGGGGTGGTGGTGGGGATTATATTTATAGTAGACCTATAGCCTATATAGCCTGTGATGTGGTTGGGATATGGGTGAGCTGTATATCCGGTAAAAACTCTATCTTGTACTATGTATACTTACTTATCCTCTATACTCTTACTCGTCGTACCTCAAGCAGAACCGCATCGCTAATAAAGAATCTACTACAACTCCAATGCATCAATCATAACACGGGGGATGTTGAATGGCGGGGGTTAGGAGGTTAGGTATTGATTCTAATTTACTCGACAGACAACAACACTCGTGAACCCATTATGCACATGAAGTCATGCTTGCGTTGCAACTGTCAAGCACGACTGAAAGGAGGAGGAAATCGGGGGGTAGGCGTTGTAGTAGTGACATGGGCACTCGGCAGAAAGATGAAAAGGGTTTCACATGGAAGATCTAGCCATGGCCAAAAGGGTTGGGTTGGATAGAAGCAAGAGTGAAGAAGGGCGGGCAAAGCCTGCCCTGCGTGAGGTAGGTCATGCACACACACACACATCACAAAGGAAAGGGTGTAGCGGTGCAAAATGGAAAAAGGGAAGGAGGAGGGCTACATGATTTCGTTCAGGCACAGCAAGAGACGAACATGCACCTGGTATTAGTACATTATGTTGAGGGGGAGGGATTTGTGTTTGACGGAGAGGGAGAGGGAAAGGGAAGGGTGTCTCTATCCTGATATTAACACCCAGAGGAGGAAGAAGATCTGGTTGACGAGTTAGTCAAGTGTACCTTGCTGCAAGTTTGTAGCAAAGGGCGGAGGGCTGCATACCATTAGAATGCCAAACATTTTGGCGATCAGCCAGCGGTTGCCCGACACCCGGGTCCAGTACTTCATCAGCTCGCGCTGCGCGCCCTGCACGTTGTCCACCACGTCCTCCGTGTTGGCGTCGATGCGCTGGATCATCTCCGACTGCTCGCTGACCATCTGGGCCAGCTGCCCGAAGATCCCGCCCAGCTCGCTGATGGTCCGCTCGATCGCCTCGATCGCCTCGCCGCGGCCCTGGATGTAGGCGTTGTTCGTCTGCGCCTCCTCCATCACGAGGAGCTGCTGGTCCGAGTGGATCGACGGCCGGCCCAGCGGCGACGGGTTCGTGGGCTCCAAAGTCAAAAGGTCGGCGCCGCCGCCGCCACCGCCGCCGCCGGGCTGGGGCGTCCGCCGGCCGGAGGGGTTGTAGAGCGGGGAGTCGGAGCGCTGGGGGTCGAGGGCCGTGTGGGACTTCTGCGAGACGGAGGAGACGAAGTTCTCGGTGCGCGAGCGCGACGCTTGGATGTTCTTCGTGCGCACTTCGAGGACGTCCTTGAAGTTGGCGCCCACATCGGCTAGTTTGCCTTGCAGCATCACGACCACCTGCGTTGATCGTTAGCCTCGTATATTTTTTCATGTTTGATGGGACCCTACATTATCATTGTGCTCGCCTTCCTGGTCCGCTTTGGACCGAGTGTTCTTCGGATGTTGGGAGAGGGTGAGCGCTTGTAACGAGGCGATCTGCTGGTTCAGGGAAGCGAGATCTTGCTTGATGACATAGGTCAACTCGGAGATTTCGACCGGTCTGTCGTCGAAGAGTGTCTTGCGTTTTGCCACTAACATCCCATATTTCTCAAAGTCAGCCTTTGCAAGGTTTCGGGGAGATGGCCGACTCACACTCAGCCAGCCGTTGCAACTTGGCGGTCGTCGCCGTGATCCCGCGTCCGATCTCCACGGCTCTCCGCGCAAACTCCGACCGTCGCTTCCCCGGGTGTTGTGCATCGGCGGACCCATTGGCTTGTCGGCGCTGCGCATCGGACAGGAGGGCCTGGCGCTGAGGGCCGACTTTGCTGGAGGCTAGGCGTTTCTGGGCCTGGCCGAGAATGGCGTGGAACTCGCCCGTGCGATCCTGGATGGACGGGCCGGCCATTGTGCGTGTGAGGGTCGTTGGTTGGGTGGTGGTAGCTGTGGAATTGAATGGGGAGGTTGATTGAGCAAAGATGCGATGGACGTGAGCAGTAAGCGAGGCACAATCACTATACTCCGAGGATGGTCGAAAGGATGCCAATCGCCGAATCTAGAACCAACGGTCGGGTGCGGTGCGACGGGGAGGGGATTGATTATACGGCACGGAGTCCGGACTAATCGATAAGGAGGCAGGCAACTGGAGACGTGTCCGTTCGTTTCGTCGGGGCGGAGACGGAGGTCAAGGTAGAGAGAGGGGTAGTGAGAGCACGTTATGTGGATGGGGAGGGTAGGGGAGGAGAGGAGGAGCGGAGAGTCAGTGTGTTGACAGGAAGAGAAGCGGAATTACAAGATAGTCATGATGAACGAGAGGAATGGGGGAGGAAGTGGAGGACGGGGGCGAAAGCGGCAATGCAGCAAAATCACCAACTGGTTAGTTACTAGTTAGGACTAGTGACCAGCCCAGCCACGTGCACACACCAGCCACCCCACATTGGCACTAGCCACCAAGATCCACACCAGCCACAGCTGATCCATTTTGGGACGGTAGGCGGCCATCAAACCAGCCAATGACCGTTCCGGTTGGGTGGAATCAGGGGCATGGTGGTATACCCGATCCCATTCAATTCAATTCAATTCCATCCTCTCTTTCTTATGATCGGTACTCCCCAACCACCCCAAATAGCCTTAATCGCAGCTCATTTATCGTGGTGAGATACCACTTTCAGGAGCTCTTTATCCCACCGTCTGAAAAATAACGGCTTCATCTCATCTCCACGTCAATCTTCTTTCCGTGCACCGCCCCGTCTCTTGGCGCACTGCCCCCATTCCTCCTCCTTTTCCTCCTCCCACGTCATCTCCGGCTTCTGTGAAACCATTCTCCTCGCGGCCTCTTTTCTGTCCGCTACACCCGCTCAACACCTTGCGCTCACCGCGCCTTTGACTGGGGTCACTTGTTTCAATCCTGGCATTCACTCTTGGCACTGGACATGCCAATCATCCATTTCAAACACCACCTGCACTGTTGAATTCAGCTCTCGATCCACCCTTGCTGATCAGGGTAGTCGTGTGAGAATAATGGCCCGTCCATTTCAGCCCTATGAGCCCGAGCTACAGAAGCTGTGAGTCCATGCAGCCGCCTCTTTCGCCCACCACTGGACCGAACTGTACTAATACATCCGACGCCTCGGTCTGCAGCTCCTCCAACACAGAAAGTCCCATGTCGCCAGTCCCGCGCGGAGAAACACCTGTATCTTTCAAGCCTAATGTCAACCGAGCAAAGACAAAACGCTGGGTAGAAGCGAAGAAGTACTCGTACGATGGAAACGACTGGGGCGACGATGAGTACGGCGAGTATGATGACGACGAGCCTCCACCGGTTCCGCAACACAACCTGAATCAAAGCACCGGGGATCTTCCGAGCATGTTCACCAGGGATGTCTCCCGACCGCCACTCCCATCGATGGATCGATCCCGATCGATGGACCAAGTCGCGACTCTTGGAGGAGATTCGATTCGCGCTCAGCCTGCAGACCCGACCGTCGTCGAGCCCGCTACGCGCACCGTCCCAATCGTTCGCCCGGTCGATATCTACAAGCGAATGAGATCAGCAGGCGCGGTGCCGCAGGATCGCAACGCCGCTCAGTCAGGCGCAGGTCCTTTCAATGCGACAACGACAGCGACTGTTCCAGGCCTGACATCTGCTGAACTCCACTTACCATCTAGCCACGAAGCACCGGCCGGGACAGGTGACTACAAGCCTTTCCGACCGCAAGACGCTGTTGACGGTGGGCAGGATGCGCAAGCGCTTCACGTCACTCACCCAGCTGAGGCAGCAGGAGGTGGCGCACCGGCGATTCAGCTCCCAGATGTGGAACGTCTTTCAAGCTTCGCCCCGGACTTCTCGGGCGACTCATATTTCCCTACTTCTGAAGCCCAAGGGTCAGAACCTGAGCAACACCAACTCCAGCACAATCCGTCCATGGGATTCCGTTCTGTGGTTCATCAAGCCTTCGATGTACCTGACACTCCCAGTACGACGGTCGACAGTGTTGCACGGTCAAACAGCGATAGTACCTCGGTGATCAGTCCCATCATTCCGCAGCGAAGCCAGAGCGATATCAAAACACCCACGATTCTGGAAGAGCCGGGTGAGAGAACACCCCCGCCCAAGGATGCGAGTGACACCCTAGTCTTCAAACCGGGTCATCGTCGAGATATTAGCCTGCCCAGTCCAAACAACAGCCCCTCGAGGACCCCTAGGATTACCAATGTTCAAACCGCCCAACCGTCCGCAACAGGCGAGATGTCTGTGGAGACACCGGTCGCGTCTTCCTTCCATTCACAGTCAGGCGAACAAACGCCGCAAGAAGCTCTTGTGCACGACGCAGCACCCGGTCCCGATCACCCTGCTCCTCTGAGCATCGGGTCCCATCCTGTGACATCAGCGCCTACAGTCACGCATGATGGGGTGCCTATCATTATACCCTCCATGAGCACCGACAATTCGCCCCAAGACACGGAGAGTGACCGCCTGCGAAAGGAGATCATGCGGACATTGAGTCGCGAGACCACCCCCTCGAAGGAGCAAGAGGAAGAGGAGCCCGCAAGTCGGCCAGAGGCTGAACGCCAGGACAGCCTCATACCTAGCGAATACGAGAGGTATTGGAGCGCTGCAGAGTCTACTACAAGCCCTGTAGCCATTGACCAGGCAACTCCAGATTACGTCGCTTCTCCGGTTGCCCTGCAGGGATCAACCATTCAGGACTTGCCTCCTGCTGCTTCCGAGCCAATCACATCTCCTGCAACGGAGTCTTCCAAGCCAAAATTGGCACGACGTTTCTCGTGGGAGTCTTCTTCCTCGTCCGAGGAGCCTGCGCCGGCAGCAGGTGTGCAGTCACCTCCTATTCCTATGCCGGGACAGTTTCCTGTCTCCCGTGAGAACCCACTTCAACCATCTCCGGCGGCCGATGTGACGAGTCCCACCGCGGCGGAAGCTATACCGGCGGAAGCCATTCCAGCCCAGACCGTTACTTCCAAGGAGGAGCCCCTCAACAAGGCCCCCGAGGAGAGCGACAGCTCGGCCGGGCCTGAGACCGAAAAGCCCAAACTAACCATCCTGCCCCCGGTCCCCGACGATCGGAGTATCATCTCCGACGGACAACTGCCCGAAGTCTACCACGCGGAAGCCATCCCAAACAGCTATGCCGACACTAACCAAGACAACAACGCACCAGCATTTTCCGGAGACTACAACCAACACCAGCAAATCCCGCGGTGGACACCGACGGCGCCGGCCTCAGTCGAACCGACCCTCCTCGGCTTCCGCGAGATTCTGGCGATGAAGACCTCCGAGGACCGGGTGCAGGCCTTCAACGACACGCGGGCCAAATTCGCCACCATCGACACGGGGCTCGCCCACTGGATCCAGGTCACCGTGCACTCACACCCGGAGCACGCGGACGTGGTCGACAAGAGCGCCAAGCTGGCCACCGGTGCCGTGCCGTCCCAGCTGGGGGCCGGGGCCGGCGTCGGCGTCACCCGCAAGAAGTTCCCCAAGCTCTCGTCGCTCGGCAATTTCGGGTCCTCCTCGCAGCTCGACGTGTCCGCCGGCGGCGGTGCGCCCTCGGGATCCGGAGTACCTGCAGGTGGCCACGCGCGCCGCCCGTCCGCCCCGCTAGGCGCCATGATGAATAAACAGCAGGTCGAGCAACGGGGCAAGGAACTGCTGCACTCGGCCGGGGTGCTAGGCGGGAGGGCGGGCGAAGCGGCCAAGGGGCTGTTCGCGCGAGGCCGGAGTAAGCTGAAGGGAGGAGGGATCGGGGGTCATTCTGAGAAGGTAGATTCTTGATTCTTTTTTTTTTTCTCTCTTCTGGGTAGCGAGTACGGTTGTGTGTCTGTATCTCTCTCTCTCTCTCTGTGTGTGTTTACATGCTGTGTGTGTGTGACTATGCTTATGCCGATGTTTATGCCTATTGATACCATGCCGTATAATTGAATCATATTGTCTCTTTGTCTCCATGCTTGAACAAACAAACCAAAAAGAAATGTCACAACAACAAATACTCGCTAGCCCCAGCCCCAGCCCCAGCCCCAGTCCCCATTGTTCCTATTTCTTCCGTTTCACTCACCCCTGTCCATTCATTATCGCGTGCACTTCGATCTAATTATGTTGGCGCGTGGTTGCCGAATAACTTGTAGGGCTTCCAAGCATTCCGGGGCTACCGCCGCCCTCTCCCGCTCACCGAGCTGGAGCAGAACGCCGCCGCTTTGGACTTGATGACGACGACCACCACCACGCCGGGGACAAACCGCAAGCGCCATACCGTGCATTTCGGAAGTTTGCCGTCGGCGGCGCCAGTGCACCCGTACCCAGGGATACGGATCCAGCGTAAATGGCGGGTCAAGCGGAAGGAGACCCCGGCTGAGATGGCGGGTCGCGGTGGTGCAGCAGCAGCAGCAGCAGCTCCAGGGCTGGATGGAAGCGAGGCCGAAGCGTCAGCCCACCCCGGGGTTTCCTCGCCACCACTAGCTGGTGATGATACTCAGGCTGCGAGTCAGATCCAGTTCACGATTAATGACGCCCCGATGGGTAGTTCTCCGGCTGTTGGGGCTGGGGATGGGCGGCACACTGCTGGAATGGAGGGGGAGAGCACGATAGCATCTGGCGGTGCGAGGGAGGAAACTGAAAACACGCTGGAGGCGTTGTTTCGGTCTTGGACCACGACAACGGGGATGGTCTCGTTTCCACGGTTTGGGGAATATGGGCACGAGGATAGCCGGGGGTCGGTCTCGTCGTTGGATGTGGCACTGGATGAGGCGGCTGCGCCGCGGAACGGTGGGTGGTCCGGTGTTGCCGGGTTGTAGGTTTAGGGACATTGCTGAGCTGAGCTGATGCGTCCAGCAGCGCACGCGGCGTCCTCCAGTGTCTCGCTGCCTTCCGCCCTGGGGGCCGGCGGCATGGATACCACTGGGATTGGCGTTCTGGAGACTTGGTCGCTGTCCCTGACACCGAGTCGCCTCACCGGTCATTGCCACAAGGATTCTCAAGTCAGCAGCAGCAGTATCGACTCCTGTCCGCCCAGCCAAATGCCTACCCTCGCGCCGCCGGCTCTTACATATTTCGAGCGCAATGACCGAGCATCGTCCGAGCCCTCCATGCCTCAAGCGGGACCGGCGGCGATGAAGATAAAATACGCAGGGGAACTTCACGACCATCCCCGCGTCTCCAACGGTGCAAGGGACCCAGAGGACAGGCTAAATGCCCCGTACAAGAAGAAAGCATTTGGCCGATTGACGGTAGGTGGTGTTATGTGGTCTTTCACCAATTGTTGTTTTTTCAATTTCACTCACTGACCAACAGGGTCTACTACGCCCTTCTCGCCCGCGGGCGATAACGCCCAAATCTTCTTAGGGTTATCGGGACAGACGGACCCCGCCACATCGGCCTCGACATCGGCATTGGCTCGCTCTCCAAAAATCACCGTTCCTCCCATCGTTTACTCTCCGCGGAACTACACCCCTAAGTTAGCTTGTGTCATGATGATAACAGGAAGAAAGAGTGGGGGAAAGACATACCATCCGTACAACCAAATACCACATCGCCCCGATGAACTTGAAGATGGACAGTCCGGCCACACTCCACAGCACAACAGACATATAGATCGTGGAGCGCTTGTTCTGCGTCGCATCCGTGTCGCTGTCGAAGGTCTCCAGCCCCGCGGCGCTCAGCACCACCGCCGCCAGGGCGAAGTTGCAGAACACCCAGGCCAGGACGACCGCACTGCGGAAACCCTTGTAGTAGTCGGCCTGCCGATCCTCTTCGGAGACGGAGGGTACCTCCTTCGGAGGCTTGGTGGCGAACTTGGCCAGCTCGGCCTCGTACTGCGCGTTGAGATCGCCGTCGTCCTGGGGGATGTTGACGTCGACCTTGCCGCCGGGTTTCAGGTTGGCGGACGGCAGTTTCTCGGCCTTGTCGTCGCCCTTGGTGCCCCAGGTGATGTCGTGGGTGTTGCAGAAGGCGTAGATGTTCAGGACGTTGATGTAGGTGGGCGTGAGCAGGATGTATTGGATGAACTGTTCTTGGGTCAGTGGGTGCGGTCAAGGGGTGCGGACTTGGGACTCACACTGGTGAACATGTGCCAGGGGTCGAGGAAGATAAAGGAGGCCAGGAACCACATCACATATGTGGAGCCGAGAGAGACGATGATCGAGAAGAACTGGTAGTTGGTGAACAGGTCGGAGAAGGTGAAGCTGTTGTCCTTGACCTGCTCCTCGATGGATTTCACGGTCACGAAGATCGCCGCAAATGCCAGGTAGATCATAATGCAAATCCAGAAGTAGACCATCGTCATATAGAACTTGTTGGACCCACCGGGTCTGTTACCTAACGCGAGGACGAAGCAGGTTACCAGTGTCGCCAGGTAGAGCCACTCGAAAACCACGCCAAGAATCTTTCCCACCGTGCCTAGCAGCGACGAGTCGCCCAGATACGAGGTGAGAATCTTGAAGACCAAGAAGAAATTGCCCTGAGAACTACGTTAGTCATCTGCTTAGAAGAAACCGCTGGATTCGGCAGAGTACTTACAATGCCAAACCATGCGAAAAGCATATTGATCGTCTGATAGATGAATTCGATCAAGAGCATGAACTTGCGCATAAAGCTATGATCGCTCCGCCAGAGCTGATAGAAGTGGGCAATGGCGTAGACCGCCGCGAAGAAACTACCGTTCAGCCAACGACGCCGCTGCAGGATGAACTCCGCCATGCGATCGGGCACATCCGTCTCGCCCGTGGACGACTTGACGTACTGCAGCAGCCAGCGGCAGTTGCGCTTGGACACCAACTCGAAACAGAGGATCCGGTCCTCGGCCAGGTACATGTTGGCCGTGAAGATGCCGGCGTTGGCACCGTGCATCTTCTCACCGGCGAAGTAGCGCTCCAACGGACCCTGTCCGTTCTTATCATTCTGCAGCGCCACGTACCGGTAGGCGGAGAACGCACCGGGCAAGACACTGATGAATCCAAACGCCGACTCCAGCGGCTTATCCAGAATGTTACTGAGCTTGTATTCGAAGTTCTGTCCCGCGACCAGCGGATTAAGCAGCTTCTTGCCCTTGTCCAACATGACCTTGATCTCACCGCAGGCGCCGCCGCACATGGGGTTGACATCAAACGCCTTCCAGAGATGGTAGATCGAGTCCTTGCCGGGACGGGTACCGGCGTCAAGCAAGACGCAGATGTTGGGGTCCAACACGCGCCCGAAGGCTTGGAAGAACCACCGATGCGAGTTGATCTTCTTCTGGTTCTTCTCCTTCAGACAGAATATCATTTGCACGGGAACCCCAGTGCGGCCCTTGAGGTGCACTTGCGTGCCCTTCAACTCCAGCCCCACCTGGGTCGTGTACTCATAGATGTGCGCCGTCACATCCTTGCCGTTGACCTGCTGCTTGGCAATGCCGTCTTGGTAGCAACCCAGACCGGCTAGCACCGCCCGCGTCCGGGGGTTGATCTTCGCACGACCGTCGCTGATCACGCAGACCACGATCTTCTTCCAGGCGTCCTTACCCCAGGTCTTGCTGCTCGTCCTCGAGCACATGTACTCGATGTTCTTGAAGACACCAATCATCGTGCGGGCGAACAGGAAGTCATCCTCGTTGTACATGGTGACGGCGATGAAGAGCTCCGTGTGTCGGGGCTTGGCGAACAGCTTCTGACGCAACGTGAAGCGCTCCTCGAAGAAGTCGGCCGGATCGCACGTGGCGGCGGAATAGCGCATGTGGGTGAATTCGTCGCGGCCCGGGGGTTCGGCGTGCGGCACTTGGCTGAGCAGCTTGGGGGCAATCGGGCAGTCCAGCACGAGGTTCCCGTTAAACAACTGGACCTCCTTTACGGTCTTCCATCGTCGCACGGGCACCGGACTGGGCGAATGGGTCGGAGCCAGCGTAGGATCCTCTTCGTATTCGTCGCTGTACGGGTCCGGCCCAAACGGGTTGTCCGGCTGCAGGATGGGTACATGGTCGTCGCTGTACGTATGCTGATGCTGCGGTTGATGCTCCGGGTATTGTCCGAGATCGTAATCATCGTCGTGCGCCGGTGTCACCGCTGGGTGGTAGGGCTGAGTGTAGTACGCATCGTGATGTGCTTCGGGATCGATCGAATATTCATAGCCGGGGTAAGCCTGCGGTTGGTGGTGCTCGTAGGCCTCATTGTGACCATAGGAGTTGGGCAGTCGTTCGACGGAGTACTACATGTCGCAATGCCGTTGATTAGCTTTTCGTTGCGGTGTCAATAGTGCGATAGCAATTCTTACTGTCGGTTGCTCGGCTAGTCGGTCGCTAGAGGGCATCTCTAGATGCTCTTGTGGATACGGATTGTCGGTCAACTGATAGGTATTCAGTGGCCGACCCGGTGACGGAGACCGGGCATCTAATTGGTGTTGATGCATCATGGGAGTGTGGGTTTCCTCCTCCCCGTAAGGGTCTCCTGTAGTCAATGATCAGTAAGATATGACCGCCCTGAGTGCAATGCGCGAGGGAAATGAGAAGAAAGCAAGTGCGACGGCAAACGTTTTCTAGCAGAGGTGGCTCGCCTGTCGCCTTTGTCGCACCAGCATACGAGCGAGTACGAGAAGACTGCCTATTTGTGCAGCGACAGCAGCAGCAGCAGCAGCTTCCTTGATCGACCTCTCCGACTAGAGTTTCAAGTTGGGAGGCTGGTTGCGGAGAAGGGGACAAATGCGCGACAAAACCCACTGCCGCGCAACACGGCTTCACCGACAGATCGGAACTTACCCAAGCGATTATATGACATGTTGGCCGATAGTGACTCGGAAAATTGATCGTTTCGATGGCAATGCCCCTTGTGAATTCCTAGCCAGGGAAGCTGGGGTGCAAATTGCGCCGAGCGGGCTAATGGAATGTGGGAGTGAGCAGACGGGCTGCTGTTGTGATGGAGAGTGAGAATAAGGATCCGGGGTTGCGACGGGAGTTTCAGATGCGATAGGCGAGATTAAGTCCGAGGACGATCGAGGACGGAGAAAAGGAAACGGAGGAACAAAGAAGCAGAGGTCGCACTGGCCAATAAATGTGAAAGGGAAAAGGGAAACGGAAGATACTTTGGAACCAACTGATTGATATTGAGTGGGTTGAGGGTGGCTTATTTTTTTCTCGTACCGGGGGTGGGATGGGGATAAGTTTAATGGGGAGGGGGAGGTAGAAAGCGAGTGCCACGGTCACCTGTTGGGGCTACCCGCAATTGTCTTCGTCTACGCCCGTAAAACTAGTTAACGGTACTCGAGTAGCTTACGAAGTGTAGTTACTGGTTACAATCAAACAAACCACAGTTGTTATTCTATTACGCTGGTCGACGGGAAAAAGATGAAGCCCGTTGACCAAGGAACGGCGGGGACGATCAGTCCAGATAACTAGCCTCAGGCGGGTGATTGATTAATTGATCAATGAGATTACGCTTGACGGCTCGATCAGCATCATAACAAACAGGGTGCAGGCTCCACTTGGGCGACCGAGTCCGATGCAGATGACGAGGTGTGGGATCGATGCCTTGATATGGCCACTCCGCAGCGTCTTCCGGGCAACATTCTTCAAAGCTCAAACTCCGAAAACCCAGTTTGTTCCCCAGAGTCTCACTTGTCCCAGGCTGTCACATTCTTCATCATCGAATGTGATACACAAAAATGCGTCCCTGATACCGATTTGACTGGCGAACCATGGTTAGAGTTGATCAACTTGCAGGTGCGCCATGGCTGTTCCGGTCTCCACTGGTGGTCACTAGTGGTCACTGGGCCAACCGTAGGACAGCCTCTTGTCTGCACAGCCACAGGGCAGTGTGGCACTGGCTGGCTTTTTATATCCGCAAGGCAGGCTGACGGCCCAGGCTATAATTATCCTCTTATCGGCTGAGAGAATCTCAAGCCCTATCGGTCGCTCAGGAAAGTCGTTGCCTGGGGATTTTGCTTCTGAACCCCAACTAGCGACGTCATAGTTCAGCCGTATGTCTCACTTTATCTCATTCGTATTCGTAAACCATCCTTTATTGGATGTCGTATCCTCTCTGGATCAGTATAAGAGGATCCATGTTGCTGGAAGAGTTCTCAATGCAAGAGCCCAGATCCCGGTATTTTATTGCGGTGCAGCAATGGTGCTTTTGTAGTTCAGTGTATTCCTGGGCGGAAGTGATTGGGTTCTAGTTCACCTGGACGCTGCGAGTAGATCCCGTATCATGTCGACCAACAACGCTGAGATGTGTACCGGAATTTCAAGAACTGATGCCCCTGACAGCATGCGGGACTGTCAACGCAAGTCCCTCACTGCCGCACGTCGCAGATACATAATACTAAGTAGTATGTTTGGTTCGACCGCCTTGAGTTGAAAGGTAGATCGAGGATTCCAAACTGGAAAGGTACAGCACCCAGCAGCCAACAAGCATGTGGCAAGAGTCAGTCAGGTACAGCCCTCCAGGTGACGCGGAAAGCTGCCTTGCGCCTCAGGCACTAACTCCCTATCGATAAGATTCTGCGCCGTCGCCCGCATCCCCCGCCCGGCGGCAGCCACAATAGGAACCAGAGAGAAGCATTCACTCCTTCAAACCACCCTCGCCTCCCTCAATCTTTGCTCCCATCTTGGACGATACCATAATAGACAATAGCACATCATGTCCGCCAACACCACACCCACAGGACAACAAGTCAACGTCCTCTTCGTCTGCCTCGGCAACATCTGTAAGGCCCAACCACCCCCAATCTCCCCCGCACTCACCACACCCCAAACCGCACCAGTACTGTACAAGCATCATCTAACCACACAGCTCACAGGCCGCTCCCCCATGGCTGAAGGTGTCTTCCGCCACGTCGCCGCGTCACACCCACTCATCAACAAGATCGACTCCGCCGGCACGGGCGCCTACCACGCCGGCGAGTCCCCGGACCACCGCACGATGACCACGCTGCGCGCCCACGGCATCACCCGCTACGTCCATGCCGCGCGCAAGGTCACCAAGGAGGACTTTCTGACTTTTGATTATGTCCTGGCGATGGACAAGTACAACCTGCGCGATCTGCAGGAGACGCGCGAGGCCGTGCTGGCGGCTGCCACCAAGAAATCCGGCGCCGCCCGCGCCGCTAAGGTGGCCGAGGTGCGCCTGTTCGGGGATTTTGGTGCCGGCGGCGCCCTGCATGAGCGGGTGGGCGGGGGCGAGGTGGTGCAAGATCCGTATTATGGTGGAGTTAATGGGTTTAAGGAGGTTTATGAGCAGGTTACGCGGTTTTCGAGGAATTTTGTCGAGTACCTTGAGAAGGAGACGCAGGGAGTGGAGGAGTGAAGGTGACGTTCATTCATCATGGAGGCTCGGGTTTACGACACACGCCCCCTCGCCCCCAGCGCGATGAGGTACGTATCGAATTGCTCACTTATGTGTTGTTGCGATTGGACATATGACAGACCACCACCACCACCGCCACCACCACCTGAGCGACTTCCTTTGCAGCAAAGACAGACTGAAGCGAATCGTCGATGCATCTTATAGACTACACATATGGACTAGAATATAATACAGTAGGCAACGTCAATGAATCGTACCTCGTACACAAAATGCTGTAAATGCCGGAACCTCCCACCGCTGCCGGGAACATATCATCTCACAACGCTTCGAGCACTTCCCGAAAAGGGCTGGCTCCCATCTAGACCTTCTCACTGATCTTGATAGCAGCCTTGCATCCATACCGGATGAAATTAACTAAGGGATCATACGGCTTTGCCTCCTTGGCATCATTCTCGACCGCGTGATCCAAATGCTCCAGCTCCTCGTCGCGGATGCGCCGGAAGTTCGCCAGCATCTCCTCGAGCTCCGGGTCCAGCTCCTCGCCGCGGCGCTCCGCCTCGGCCTTCCACGACAAAATCTCGCGGACTTGGTCGTTGTAGTGCGATCCGATCTCCGTCTCGACGGCTTCCGTGCACGCCATGGCGGCCTCCCGGCCCAGGACGCCCGTGGACCAGCCCAGGAAGGTCGCCGCCGCGTACCAGACCGGGTACATCGCCGTCGGCCGCACCCGGTGCTTCGCGATGAGCTGGTTGAATGTGTTGAAGTGTCCGACCTCCTGGTCGTACATGTGCTTCATGAGCGGGCGCAGGTGGGGGTGCGAGCGCACCACCTGTGGCGTTTGCGCCGTGTAGATCAGCGTCGCCGCCAGCTCGCCGGCTTGGTTGACCCGCAGCGCGCTGTCGAGGAATTCGCGCTGCTTCGCGGTGAGGGCGTATCTTGGTTTCCGGGCGTCATGGCGGTTAGTTGGGGACGGCGGGCTGGAACTGGATGGTGCAGTGGAGTGATCGGTGGTGGTGAGGTGGTACAGGCGACGGCTCTGTTGCAGCGTGGATGGTGCGAGGAAGTCGAGCACGACGGGGGTGATCGCCGCCGTCGGTCGGAAAGATGCGGCAAGGGAAGTTCTGGCCAGCATTGTGAAACTCTCGGAGATCGCTGAAGGGAATTTAAACAAGAGGAATGGCTGTCGCGACAGATGTTAATGCGCTGTCTAGACTTTTTAAAAGATTAAGGAATGCTCACCTCTACTGTAGATAAGTGCCTTATGCTGCCATGCTTTCCGAGGTGGCTCAACCCATCTTCCATTCAAGTCCAGCAAAAGCCGCAGCCGCGCGCTTACCGCCTTGGCACGCCAACCCTGGAGCGGAACGTCATGAGCAAGAGAGGATCGTGAACTTCTCCAGGCGCTTCTTTTCACTTCCCGATACCGAATGTTTTAAACCTGACCCCCTGCGACACTGTCCATCCTTCACGCGCCCACTCTCAACAATATACCCTGTTGTCTCCGCGCTATCACCACTATATAAATAGGCAACTTCAGATCGGCCTTTGTCAGCGTTCTCTCACAGCGCACCCCGGTCCTACATAGCGCGGTTTCGCCTCCAATTCGACTTCCCCTGTGGCCACTTCAAGGACTTCATATCTGCTCAGCCACAGCCCGTCTAGACGATATATACTACCTCGAGTGCGCTGGTCGACAACGACGGAGTTGATTGGGCTCTTTTGGTTTTGCATCTGAGAGCCAGCGCCACCTTTGCTCGGGCTCGCACCACCCGGTCCCGCACTCTTTAGGCCACACTTCACCCTACCCTCAATTCACCATGGCGGATGACCTCGATGCAGAGCTTCTCGCCCTGGCGGGTGACTCCTCGGACGAGGAGTCTTCTCCGCCCACCAGGGAAAAGGCCGCCTCCCCGGATCGCTCTTCTTCTTCTTCACCACCACCACAATCACCCGCAGCATCATCCACCATGGGTCGCAAAGGCATCGCCAAACCGGCGCGACGTAGTCGAAAGTCCCGTCATCGTGATGACGAGGACGGTGAACTGTAAGTGTTACCCGAGCTGCCCTCCGATCTTCATCTTGGGAAGTGCGTCCGCCACACAGTAACGGCTCGCTGGCTAACACGGTGTGTGCTCCCGATCAGCTCTGCAGCCGAATCGCTCGACTCTGCCAGCATGTCCGAATCCGATTCCGCGTCCGACTCGGAAGGTTCCGCCGATATAGGCGAAGATGACGGGCCCATGTTCCCCTACGAGAAGCTCTATTACTCAGCCAAAGACAAGGAGGAGATCATGGCGATGCCCGAGATTCAGCGCGAGCAGATCCTGTCGGAACGCGCGCAGGAGGTCGATCGTCACAACCAGGATCTCGCCCTCCGCCGTCTGCTAGCATCGCGGGAGCGGGAGGAAGCCCGCAAGGCCAAGAAGAACAAGCGGAAGGCGAGCGCCGCGAACCTGGACGAGGGCAACCGCAAGAGCTCGCGCCAGAAGACGACGCTGGGTGGTCGCAAAGTCGGGGAGACGTCGGAGGCGATCGAGGCCTACAAGCGGCAGCGCGAGCAGAAGGGCAAACGCGACGAGCTCCGCCGTCGGGATCCTACCGCGAAGGATCAGAAAGCCCGCTCCCGGGATGATAGGCTGTCGGATGAGGACGCCGAAGGCGAGAGTGAAGTCGAATGGGACGATCGGGAACGCTCCCTGTCTCCTCCCAAGGACGATCCACCGGCCGAACTGCGAGATATCCAGCGTACGCGCGTCGGTCGCAGTAATTTCGCGCAGGTCTGCTTCTATCCTGGTTTCGAGGAGGCGATCGCCGGATGCTACGCCCGTGTTAACGTCGGTCCCAACCGCGATACGGGCTTGAATCAGTACCGTCTGTGCTTGATCAAGAGTAAGGGAACCCCTTTCCCCCGGTTCGTGCCGGATTCATCGCTAACGATGGCAGAAATCGTCGAGGAAGGCCCCATGTACGCCATGGAGGGGCCAAATGGCCGCTCATTCGCCACAAATCAGTACGCCGTGCTGGCCCACGGAAAGGCCGAGAAAAGCTTTCCCTTCATTGCGTGCTCGGACTCCCCATTCACAGAGGTTGGCATCCTTAGTCTCGAGATTTCTCGCCAACCTAGACTAACGCTTTTAAGGCCGAGTTCAACCGCTACCGTCAGACCATGGCCATTGAAGACTGCAAGATGGCCACGAAGTCGCAGGTGGCCAGCAAAGTGGCGGACATCAACCGGTTACTGAACCACAAGTTCACCAACGAGGAACTCAACGAGAAGCTACGCAAGCAGGGGTCGTTGGACACCAAGTCGCAATTCTTCAAGCGCGTCGACGTGGAGAAGCAGCTGAAACTGGCCAAAGCGGCGGGCGACGAGGCCGAGGCGGAGCGGCTGCAGAGCGAGCTGAACAGCATGGCGGCGCCCAAGGTCGCCCACGGCACCAGCCTGTCGCGGCCCCGCGCTGACAAGCCCTCCGAGCACGAGCGTCTGGCCGAGCTGAACCTGCGCAACCAGAAGCTTAACTACGAGAACGTCCGCCGCGCCCAGCTCGAGGAGCGGAAGGCCAGCCGCAAGGCCGCCGCGGCGGTGGCCCGTGGCGAGGCGACGCTCAACCCCTTCATGCGGGTGCGCACCCAGGCCCGCACGCACTACGACGTCAACGGCAACACGATCCCGTCGCCCAACAAGCCCGGAGAGGGCGGCAGCCAGGATACCTCGGCCTCGGGGACGCCATCCAAGGCCAGCACGCCCACCACGGGCACTCCGCTCGGCGCCAACCAGCGCAAAGCCGTCAAGAGCGGCGCCATCCGCCATCGCAACATGGACGACGAGAACATCGCAGCGTTGGATATAGATTTGGATATCGAGATCTAGCTGTGCCATCCCAGCAATGATATGGTCACATCACAGCCAACACTGAGGATTTCCATCGACCGAGACTTTGCATGCGACCATCAAATTTTGTGCTATCAATGCTCGCCATCGTAAATTGGAGGGAGAAAAAACAGGGACAGGAACTTGGGATTTTCGAATGCATTCGAAAGCATTTACTACAGCGTCGGTTGTTTTCCCCGTTTGATTGTACACTTTCTCTTTTCTTTTTTTCCACTTCCCTTCTCTCTCTACCTTCCTTCCTTCGTCTTATTGTGCTAGGGAATTGGCGTTCATTGGCGTCCAAATGAGAAAGAAATCCACACACGGCGCGCGCTGTATTTTTAAAGCTCCCCCATGCAATGCAATGCAAATAAACCAATCATGCACATTGAACACCACTCTCCCTCAGAAATCAGTCATGCGTAGATACTGCCCTGTACTTACTGTACGTGTAGTGTTATAGTATAGACGTGAGCTGCGATAAGCGAACCAACCAAAGTCAACTCGCATCACGTGCGATAACAGCCCCCGACGCCAACGCGCGCGCGGCGCGTCTTCCTACCCTACCCGTCCGTCCGCCCGCAGAATCCATCTCCGCGGCGCCCTTGATCAACTTAACGCAACCACTTAAGCAACCAAATTCCAGCTCCCCTTAATTCAATACAGACATTGCCCACGTTTCCCCCTCCTGAACTCATCCGATAACAATTAGAAATGCTCACCTCCACCCTCCCTCAAAACTAAAGCCAACGTTTATGATACCCTTGCCCGAAACCATACGATAATGTCCACTTCCACACCCTCTACACCGCGCTCAACGCGCGCCGCGTCCCCCGGCACAGACACCGAAATGCTCCTCACCCCCGGCCGGAAGATCAAAGCCATGCTTGCTGCGTTTGATAGCGATAGCGATTCCGATGATGACGACTGTAACCGTAATAATGCTACGCAGAAAGGAATTGGGGCTGGTGGTGATCGCTCCACGACCAAGCTCAGCGACGCGTTGAAGAAGAGCTCGATTTCTTCGGTTGTTGAGGCGGCGGGTTCGGTACCGATGGTTGACGTCGAGGATGAGGATGAGGATGATGACGACGACGACGAGGAGATTGTGAGGCCTAAGGGGCGGATGGCAGCGCGGTTACAGGGTACTACTGGTCAATCGGGGACGACGGCGTTTGAGAGGGTTAAGAGGAGGTTACGGGATGAGGAGGCCAAGGGACATGGTCACAAGGATGACGACGACGACGATCTCCCAACGGCGGGTCCGCGACGGAGAGGGATTACCACCGTACCTCCCGAGCCTGCATTCGATGAAGATGATGAGGAGCCGCGGACCCGCGCGTACTCTCCGCTTTTCGTGTCGTCGCCTGTCAAGGGACGGGATCATGCCGAGAACGATGCCAACATCACAGATAACGAGGACGAAGCACAGCAACCGAAGAAGAACGCCCGGTTCTTGGCTCTTGTGGCGCAGAAGCGCAAGGAGCGCGAGGAAGAGGAACAGGCTGAGGCGGAGAGACGGGCCGCCGCGCGGGCTGCGAGGCAGCAGGGACAATCTGATGCGGAGATGGTCTTGTCTGCGAGTGAGGGCGAGGGCGACGGTGCATCATCGGGCGCCGAAGCCACAGCCAAAAAGCAACAGCAGACGCGGCCTGCGGCGCGCAAGGCCAGCAAAAAGGCACTGGAGGAGATGAACCGCGAGACGCAGCGGATGAGTCGCAACATGCAGCTAGCGCATCAGGCACAGACGAAGAAGAAGATTACCAAGGAGAGCTTCTTCGCGCGGTTCAACTTCGGACAGCCGGCTGTCCCCCAAGAAGCTATACCCCCAGCTGGCGAGACCTCATCTAGCGCGGCGGGCTCGCAGAATTCGTCGGATGTCGAGGCACAGAAGGACAAGGAGACGCCCCGGACGTCGCCGGTCCTGGGTCCGGCAGACAAGGTGTTTGCTATGGAGGAAACAGACGAGAATCCAGCTGAGCCCGAATTCCCGACGCTCGAGAAGATTCTCGCCAACCCACCGACGCAGCCTGAGGAACCGATTGTGGCTCGGATGGAGGTGGAGCCGACAGGTCAGAAAATAGACGCAACATACGCTAAAGGGAAGAAGGCGCTGAACCTGCCTGCGGTTCGCGTCAGGCTATCACGAGAAGAAGTGGCACGCCATCAACAAGACGACTCGGACAGTGACCTGGAAATTGTCACCTCGCCCGCCAAATGCCGCCGGATCGCGGCTTTCGAGAACCTCCCCGCCAAGAAACTACAGGAGTCGGCTTCAATGATTAAGTTGAAAGCTCTGGCGCACTTGACCTCGCCCAACCGCAAGTCCAAGGGCATGAACGGGGCTCAACTCTCTGCCACGTTGCTCCTGAAGGCTAGACAGCAAGCTGCCAGGGAGCGACAGGAGAGGATCGAAGAGCTCAGAGCCAAGGGTGTTCACATCGAGACGGCGGAAGAGCGCGCGGCCATGGAGGACGAGCTGGAGAACCTGGTCGAGAAGGCACGCATGGAAGCCGACGCAATTGCCAAGCAAGAACGCAAAGCTGCCAAGCGCGACGGCGATGACGAGGACGAGGACGAGGACTTCGAATACTCGGGGTCAGAGGATGGGGAGAATGGTGACGACGACGAAGACGAGGAAATGGCAGACGCACAAGGAGGCGGTGATGGATTGGTCGACTCTGAAGCCGACGAAGGGGATGAATCGGAAGACGACAAGTCAGAAGTCATGTCGGTCGAGGAGACGGATATTCCTACCCAGAGACGCAAGCGACAGACTCGGGTGATCAGCGACGACGAGGACGAGGACGAGGTGCAAGAGCCGAAAACCCCAGCCAAGCCCATCATCGGTGCCACCACTCCTGCAACGCGGTCTGTCGACCGGCCTCACCTCCCTGCGCAGAGCTCCAACGACCTGCTAAGCTTGACGCAAGCCTTTGCGGGCACCATAGCCGGAAGCCCCCAGCGCAGCCAACAGACGCCTGCTCCCACACTGCCGAGCACTTTGCCCGAGCCTGGACTCCACGAGTCCGACTCCAATGTGATAGTTAAGGACAGCCAGGTGCCCCGGGCCGAGTCTCATGATATACTCGCTCACTACGCCCCGTCCACCGCGCGGGTGTCCGAATCCCCCGCTCCACGCTCCGTCTCGAACTTCTCGCAGATCCCCGACCCGACGCAGGATGAAGGATTCATTCTCTCGCCATTTGACCCGTCGAAGCGCTTCCTCGGCACGCCGCAATCGACCATCGAAACCGTCATCGTGGACCAGAACCAGTCCCCGGTCCCCACGAGAAGCAAGCGCTACTTGAAGCGTGGCGGCCGCGCCGCTGACCTTTCCATGGTCGAAGAACAAGAGGAAGACAACGGCGACTTCGAAATCAACGCCAATGCCTTCAACATCATGAAGGCGTCGAAGAAGAACAAGAAGCCTGCCGTCCTATTCGACAAGAGCAAGAGCAAGGCCAAGGACGTGGTGGAAGAGGCAGCAGAGGAGTCGGACGATGAATACGCCGGACTGGGCGGTGGAAGCGACGAGGACGACGATGACGAGGAGAACGCCTACGACCGAGCGATGATCAACGACCACAGCGGGGAGACAGTTGACGAGAAGCAGCTTGCTGCCTTGAACGCGTGAGTCTACCCTTCCCCCTTTTCTTTTGCCGGTGAAACTAACCACGAACACACTAGCCACCACCAACGCACCACCGACGAAAAGCAAGTCGCCAAGCTCCTGAAGGACATCACCACGGGTGCCCTCCGGCGGCGCCGCGGCGCCAACGCAGGCGACGAGTTCGACCTGGACGACTCGGACGACGAACTCCTGGCGCGGCGCCGCGAGAAGCAGCGCGAGTTCGCGCGGATGCGCAAGGCGCTTCTGGCCGACGAGAAGATGGGCGAGATCGCCGAGAACCCGAAGAAAGCAGCCTTCTTCCGGGCGGTTGAGGACCGCGACGACGACGATGACGAGGAGATGGGGCTGGAGTTTGAGGAGGAGGGGGAGGACGAGGAGAGTCAACAAGACAGCAACCCCCACCCCCTCAACCCGAGACTGCAGAATCCACCGACAACACCACCGACCCGCAAAACAACAAAAGAAAACGCCCCCTCAACCCTAGCACCGAATCCACCTACAACCGACCCCCGCCCCACCTCCGCCGCAAGCCGGCCTCCGCCATGTCCAAGAAACCCGCGACCCTGGCCGAGATCCGCGAGACCCTGAGCTTTTTGACCGAGACGCACGAGTACGATTCCTTCCACGAGGACGCCTCCCTGGACCAGGAGCACGACCACGACCACGACCAGCCAGAAGAAACCACCCTCGACCCCGCCGACTTCGCTTCCGATGACTCCGACGACGAACTCGCCGCCGTCGCCGGACCCAGCCAACCCAAACCCCCCCCAAACCTCCTGACCCACCACCCACGCCGCACCCGCGGCCCCGTCGTCGACCGCCTCGCCCTCCTCCGCCAAGCATCCAGCAACTCCGCCACCTCCTCCAATGCTGGAGGCAAACTCGCTTTCGCGACGGATTCCCCCACCACCACCACCGCCAAGGACAGCGGCACCTTCGGCCTCGGCTTCAACCGCCCCCCGCCTCTACTCCGGCGCAGCACCACCGCCTCCTCCTCATCCTCCTCCTCATCCTCAGGAGCAGGAGCAGGAAGCCGACGGAGTAGCGCAGCGTCCGTGAACGCCGGCCACGGGGCAGTGAACCCAGCCGGAATCAAAAAGGCAGGGGGTAACGCCACCGCCTCCGTCAACGCGTACACGGCGGCGCGCGAGCGGGAACGCGAGAGGGAGCTGCGGATGCAGCGCGCCCGAACTGGGAGCGCGGGCGGGTCGAGGAAATTGGCGGCGGCGCTGTTGGATCAGCGGACGGCGAATCGGTTGGGGGCTCTGGGGGGCGGGGGGCGGTGGGAGTGATTTTCCCCCCAAGGGTTTGGGGATTTGTTAGCTGTGGAAGGGAATGATGTACTATACTTGAGGGGGGAATGAGGAATGTGGTATGTGGTGAGGGCATGTGGGAAGTAAGAAGTGAGAGGGAGGGGGGTGGTGTGATAACTGTCGAGAGGGGAGGAGGGGGGAAGGGGATGATAATGATACCTTGGTTTGATTTATTGTTTGTTTGGGGTTTGTCAGCTTGTGATTGTTTGGATTTAGTGGGATGTGTGTTCGGAGGGGATTGGGGATTGGTGTCTGGAGTTTGGAGTTTGGGAGGTACCTTGTAGTGAACTACCTATTTGTAACTGGGCTTGAGCTTGAGCTTGAGCTGGAATATATCAGTTACTGTTTGAATGATTTCTTGCTATTGTCTGGATGATTTATCTATATTACTTGCCCTCAGGCTCAGCAACTCAATAGGTGGATTGTATGGTTGTTGGAGGTGTATTCTGGTTAGACTTATGGCTCTTCCCCCCCGATATAAATATGGGTCCTGGGGCCACAAAGCTCCGCTCGAGATATTTGGCCTCACAGTGATACTAACTGTAAAGCGGCATACGGGTCTTCATGAGCAACGGGACTACAAACAAGAGAATCTGATCCCTGATATTACACCAAGTCACCAGTAGTAGCACACTGCATATTGCATGCCCGAGAATACCTTTCTACCAACGGAAGACGCATATGCCCTTGAACCGCCCCCAACCCAGTCAATCAGTCAGATAGACGAAATAAAATTCAGAGGCTCGCTACCGCTAATTGATCATACTGTAAATGCTGGGCCTGATACCGTGCCGATTACCGAACCACGTGCGACAGACCAGACCGAACATGCTCGTGATTTCAACGCTGCATGTGTTGCGGTCGTCCCCGGCTTGCAGCATATAGAGACGTATGTCTGTAGCCATCTGGCCCCATTTTTCCACGGTCGTGAATTGGTGCATGACAAGGATGAGTTGCATAATGGAGCCGAGTCTTCAGTCGAGATGTATCGGTGTTAAGTGAGACCATGCTAACCACGAATGGAGAGCGAGTTCTGCAGATTGATGATGATGTCCACACGAGTCGTGCTTTGGATAAAAACATCTAAGGCGCATCACTTCTCCTTAATAGAGTGTTCATCCATAGCAGCTATCAGACTCTGCAGCCCGTGAGCCAGGTGCTGAGGGCCCGCAGCGGCGCCCGGTTCCTCGGACTTCGGGACATGATACACAACATAGTCCGCCGCCAAGGACTTGATGTCCGTCGCCGTCCATCGATTCGTGCTCAGCTGTTGCATGACGGCTCGGACCTTGGGGGAGATGAGGAATGGGTCGGGTTTGGTCGCCTTGAGGACTAGTTCGATGGTTCGGAGGAAGGCGGTGCACAGGCGGCCCCATCCGAGACTCATGTGCCAGAGCCCGACCACGCAGCTCTCCAGGACGAGGCTCCACTTCGGGTCTTGAGGGCGCAGTTGGGAGACAGAATGTACGCCCGCCGCACAGAAGTAGTGGAGCATGACGATCGGCAAGGACTTGAATCCATGGCAAGTCTGGAACAGCAGGATGAGAGATCCGATGACCCCCATGGCTTGTAATTTGGCACCCTGGGTGTCAAACTTCGTCTCAAATGGGTTGTTCGTTGGATTAGAATAGAGATTAAAGATCTCGCATAATGAGACCACTGTCGCGTGATAGTACATGCTGTCATCACATGGTAAGTAGAAGCGTAAACGAAGAAGCGTATCCAGACTTACTGTAACGTCAGAATATGGGGCGACGTATTCTCATCGGGGGTGACGGTGGAAGGTAAACTGGCCCGCCAGTTCAGGAGCTTCCCGTAGAGCTGGAAGCCGTACTCCCAGTCCTGTTGATCCAGCGGTGAGTCTGGAAACCTCAACGCAAAAGCCGCTATGTCGTTGACAATCATCACGAGACCGCCTCGAGCTCTCGCGGCCGTATGCACAAACGGCCTGAAAATAGGGGTGAGAAACGGGTATGGACTCCATTCGTCGCCATCGTCTAGTGCCGCCGCTTCGGTCGCCGAGAACCTGACAGACGGTGGCTGCTTCCACGCCGATTCCTTCCGGTACACTTGCGCCGCCAGTCTGTATTGCGTCAGCATGTGCATGGAGGGTAATGAATCTGGACCAGGGACGTACGCTTGAACATCAAATACAGCCCATGCGACTAGTCTATGACACCTGTGAAGCGACTCGACATCCTCGTCGACAGTATCTTCAAGGAAAGAAGGACGCTCCTCATGCAGCCTTAACCCAAGGCATAACGTAGCGCCGTGCATGATGTATCGTGTGCCCATCCGGTCCAGCCCAAAAGTGCAACACAGCAAGCCAATCATGACACTTGATTGTGCTGTAGGAAGACAAGTGATTTCTTTCTCCACATTCCAAAGACGTTGCAGGGCCGAATAGATCTTCTGGCCCAAAACCTTCTCCTCCCGTCGATCCGTGAGTCGCGCCAGATGGTAAGAGAAACTCTATCATCCAGGTTAGTCGGGGTTACCCATGCGAAACATAACAGGACCGGAAGAGCGATTACACAGCCGAAGAATAGAAGCGCGTGGACCAGCAGAGGTGAGCAGAACCCCGTCTGACCGCGCTCCAGGTCGCGAAGGAACAGCTCCTGGTCGATGAGGTGCCACGTCGGGTTGTCCCAGGTGAAGTACAGAGACAGAAGATGGCTGGCCGTGGTATTGTCAACAAGGTCAGTCCAGTGACCGATGTTGGTGGTTTGGATCGGGGGACAATCCTGCAGAGGTTGAGTTGCGCTGGCAGGATTGGAGGCCAGGGTTAGGTGCATACGGGCCAATGAGATGCCCGGGAGTGGCTGTGGCAGATGTTGATCCGATAGCGATTGGGCGGTCATCAGCGTGGAGAATGCATCGGTGTTCCCTTGAAGGTGTTTCTGCGACTCTAAGCAATGTGTACCTCGACGAGTGCGGGGAGGCCACTCACACTGATGATTTCATCAATGGGTTTGATGTCCTGGCGGGCAGTTTCGGAGATGATCTCTCGCAACAAAGACTCATATGCTGTGACTTGGGAGCGAACCGAATCCAGCTCCAGCTGCTGGCGCTCACGCTTTGACCCCGCATAGTTACAGTCGAGAGCAAGACGACTACATTGCCTACACACGGGCTTGCGACCGTCACACTTGGTCTTCCTGGCCCGGCAGGCCACGCACGCACGGGCAGTGCGCTGATGATTGTTTTTGAGTGATGGAGGGACAAGCCGGGGGATGGGTACTTTGCCCTTTTGCGTGGCAGCAGGAATAAGGCCTTTTACGGGGTCATCGGCCGCCCCGGGATCAGCGGACTCCTGCATGTCAATGTCACACCCATGAAGGGAAGCGGAGAAGCAGAGGTAGATCAAGAGATGAAGAAAGGGAAGGAGAACAAGGAAAAGAAGAAAGGAAACTTTCGAAGAGGCATCAAAGTTGAATGATAACAATGGCAACATTACACCCTGGCATCCAGAATCGACGCCAAAACCGGATGGATGATTAACACATGCCAAGACATGCCGGACCCCCGGGGTGGAAAAAAAAAAAAAACCTGCAATGGCTCAAAAGTTCGGATTGAAATAGCTGCCGCATGTAGGAGCAACTTTAATTTGCTGATGGCCAAAGGAGGACTTTTCCGTATGAGAACTGGCCAATTCGGTCCACACGTACCACACTGTAACCAGCTGCTCGGGTCCCAACAAATACCATCTTGGCAAAGATCCATTGATGACGTCCTCGGCTTAGGTGCCCGCAATCAGTTCGGGATTTGCTTTTTTTGTGTTGTGTGTTCGCGTCGTGCCATGGAGGCAGACATCGTCTCTGTCAGTAAGGTCGAGAGATAGTTTTCCCCCTGGACAACCCTTCCCTTCAAGCTTGGCGGTGTATTCATGACTCGTGAAGGTCATCTAGACCAAGGGTGTCAGTTCAAGATTGATAGTAATACCCCCAGATCGTACCTCAATCTGCCAAGTTGCCCTGAGATCGTCTCCACAGGATTAATACTCCCCCTAAGATAGGACAATGGACGTGAGCCCAGTCAGCATAGGTTGTGAAGAGTATACCTGGACTTGACATGCCACACTCAACGAGGGGTGGTTGAGCCAACCTCTGTGGCCCACCCGGCTGCAAGGGTCAAATTACCACTGCCTCGCCTTTTCCCCTTTACAAGATCATCACCCTCAACGAAGTAGTGTGATGCTGAAGTAAACCCAAGCGAAATGAAACCTATCGCGGAAAACCACGCGACTAGTGCTCCAGGAGCCAAAACACTAGCTTTGCCCCTCCCGCCGAATGATTCCACCGTCGCCAATCATGATCTCAGACTTGAGCTCCTTGAGCTCCTTGAGCTCCTTGACCAGTCGGTATTTTTTACCGTAATTTGTTGAGGGTTGTCAAATGTCTTGGCAAGAAGCCACTTCGGAACTATCAACTGCCTGCCGGCCAGGTCCAATGAACATGCAAGAAAAAAAAAGATGTCTTTGGGTCGGGGGGAGGGGGGCCACGGTGTAGCAGTGCAAAAGTGGCAGTGGGTGTTGGAGAGACTCCTGCCTATTTGGTTCTTAGTCCGACTTAAATAGGCTGGACCCACCACTCAGATGGCAGTATACAAGCCTAATCGGGGTGTTCGTCAGCTAAAATCTCTTCTGGGGAAGAGGGAAGTACGAGTACGTTCCAGTTGTGCAAGAGTGGTGCTACCCCGACCGGGAGTAGTTTGGCGGTTGTAGCCGCGTGGCTATTGTCACAAGGCCATTTCAAGTATATATAGCCTCTGCGTGTAGATATATGTTCTCGAGAGTAGAGTACGGCGTACACTTATCGCGGTTCGGATGTTGTTTCAAATGTGCTAGCGGTGTGGCGCAGAGGCTATACAGCCACACACGGTGGAACATAGCGGCGAGACTCGATTGACCATCGAGACTATGATTGCTGCGACATTGAACGTGGATTTGATTCTTAACAACGCAGCAAGGTCTTTGACGAAGATGAACGAGGCGTGAGTCGGGTTGTCTGGAGTGGAAGAGGAGAGGTGGATGGGAAGAAGACGAAGACGGAGGGAGAACAAACCGAATACAAACAACCAACTTACTGGTAATGCTTCCTCTTCTGCACCTCCTGGCTGGACACCACTCCGATACTGGACAACGACTGACCATACCATACGGTGCTAACAAGCATTACATGCTCAAAACAGCCATTCTAGCCATACAAATCGAATTCCCTCACCAAGACATAGTCCCCAACTACACTCCGCATCACTGAGACATTATCTAGGAACTGGCGGGGGAAAGTCCGGGGTCAATAGCAGATCCCTTCTATAGCTTCCCCACTATTCTACGAGAGAGCGTACGACATACGACACCAATTAGCAGACAAAGACGGAAGGAAAAAGGATCATAAATCATCATTGGAAGTATCAGACAATGCTAATATCGCTTTCCACCAGAACAACAACAGCAAAAAAAAACAAAAAAAAAAAGGAGAACGGGCTTCAGACCAGTTTGGCTTCACGACCTGATCTTTTTTTGTCAAGAAGAGAATATTCCCCATCAGCTCTATGTACAGAAAAAAAAAATATACAAAACATGCAAAGGGGTGGATCACTAGCAGCCGGGCCAGAGACTACACACACAACAATCGACAGGAGGAGGGAAGAAGAAACGGGAAAAGCTTACGCCGCGAACAGCTCATCGAAGCGCTCCGTGGCTTCCTGGGTGACATCGACACCATAAATCTCGCGCTGAACGTCGGCGTCGGCCCACTTGTCGGGGACGGGACCCTTGCCCTCGCGGAGGGCGGCGAACTGCTTGTCGCGCTCCTCCTTGGCGGCGCCGTCGCCCAGGTGCAAGGCGCGGCCGGAGGCGGCGGCCAGCTCGACGAGGGCGTAGGCGCGGTTCTTGCGGATCTTCTCGTAGACCTTGAGGGCCTTGTGGATCGAGGCCGGGGTGGTGTCGGGCAGCTTGGCCAGGACCTTGCCGATGACGGCGCCGTCCTCGATCGCCTGCGCGGCGCCCTGGGCCAGGTGCGGCAGGGTCGGGTGGCAGGAGTCGCCGACGAGGGCGACCGACTCGTGCACCCAGGTGGGCAGCGGCTCGTGGACGCGCAGCTTCCACTCGCAGACCTCGCCCTCGGGGACGTAGCCGAGCATGCGCTGGACCATGGGGCAGAAGTCGCCGAAGACCTGCAGCATGACGGACTTGTCGCCGCGGGTGGTGTAGGTGGCGTTGGTGGCCGCGGCGAAGTTGATGTCGGGCTGGGTGGTCGAGAGGTTGTAGATGGTGTTGTTGGAGACCGGGTAGGCGATGATGTGGCGCTTCTCGCCGATCCAGCGCGTGACCTTGTTGCCGCTGATCAGGGCCAGCAGCTCCGGGTCGTCCTTGACCTGGTCCTTGTGGATCATGATCCGGTACGCGGCCTGGTTGGTGTCCTTGACGCCGGCCTGGATGCCGAGCAGGTCGAGCATGGCAACACGCGTGTTGGACTTGATGCCATCGGCGCCGAGGAGGACGTCGGCTTCGACGCGGTAAGGCTCCTGGGTGGTGTCGCGGGGAACAGCCTTGAAGGACGGCTTGGAGCCAAAGGTGACATCTTGGGCGGTGGTAGCAAAGTGGAAGCGAATGGCGTCGGGGTGGCGGAGACAGCCCTGGTAGAGGCCGTTGGCGAGGGAGGAACGGTGTCCAACCATGTGCGGGTAGCCATAGGTATCCGCAATGTATTCCAGCGGTACGTGGGCCAATTCCGCATCCGTCGCTCCAACTGCAGGATGGGTCAGTCACTCATTCAATCGTCCACCGAATCACAAAAGAAACATACCCCGGACGCTGGTCTCAACAATGTTGACAGCCTCGGCCTCAATCTGCTTCCACACACCCAACCGGTCGAGGACGCGGGCCATGTTGGGGGCAAGTTGGATACCGGCTCCAACAAAGCCCAGGTCATGAGCCGTCTCGTAAACGTCGATGTTCTTGAAACCCTCTCGGGCCAAGGCCAGAGCGCAGGTGAGACCACCCATACCTGATCTTGAAGTTAGTTTTCGCATTTTCTTTCGAGGAAAACGATAAGGCTGAAGGGAAAGCGGGACCGCGGCATACCTGCGCCCAAAATGGCCACCTTAAGATCTTGCGGGGACTGAGCCATTGTGTGAGAGGAGAATGCTAACAATAGTAAAGAAGAGAGGAGAGGAGATGGGTCTTGGAAGAGTGAAACAGTTGCAAAAGATCCAACTCGAAGAGGATATACTGGGCATTAAATATGGGATGGCAGCCGGCAATCGGACTGAGAAAGGCGGAGTAAATCTTACCCGCAATGCTTTTCCTCCCCACGATTTCCCACAATCCATCCAACGGGGGGGCTCGACCTGCGCCTCTTGCCTTCCGACCAGCCCGGAGAGGCAAATTTTAATGCTGCTGCTTTTCCTCGCCGGTGACTGGTTTGGTCTTCCCCCAGGCTTTGGCGCAAAGGTTCATGATTTCCCCACATATCGGTAACTGTCCCCCGTGGGGCGATTCAGTCTTACTCCCGGGGATGAGATTATCCTCCCAGTGACGCGGACACCGGGAATCCATGGGATTACTAATGGTTGACGCTAACTAACCAACTATGTAACTCGTGACATTAATTATTAGTATTATATGTATATCCGTACACCGGTCAGAGTATGGAGTACCTAGTACGTACTCCGTAGTCAACTAATACAAAAAGTGAATGTGGGGAAGTGACATAGGTGATCGCCCTTTCTTTTCCAGAGATGCTCTCCACTCTACAAAGCATTTCCCAGCTCCCCGACAATGGTACCCACGGGCACTCCGATAGCCGGCAACCCCAGGCCAGACACCAAGGCGGCAACATCGGGATCCAGCTTGATCAGCAGGAGACCACCGTCTTCACCCACCACCGTGAGCAGGCAATCCACCACCGGTCCCAAGTTGGCAATCAGGTCGCCCACTGAGGCAGCTGACCGGATCACTTGGCCCACGCTGCGCCCAGCCTCGTTCAAGCCCAGGTTGATCAGGAGCTGCGCCACGGGGTTGCTCAGACGGATCAGCAGTGGCTTGAGGTCTTCGCCGGTGATTTGAAGGATGCAATCCACCACGGGGGCCAGTTCCTCGAGCAGACCCGCCGGCTTCGAGACATTAGTCCGACGCTTGAGGCTGCTGCCAATGTCGCTGAGCACATTTCCCACCGGCTGAGCGAGCGCATCAAGGCCAAGCCCGCGAAGGAGATCAGCCACGGGGTGGTCCAATTCGATCAGAAAGAAACCAAGACCCTTGCCCGTCACGATGCAAAGGTTGTCCACGGGCTGACCCAGGTCCGACACCAGCTCACCGATGCTGGAGGCGCTTCTGAGGAGGCTTCCCACGGGCTGAGATAGACCCACCAAACCGAGTCCGGCCAACAGGTCCGCAAATGGATCGCTCAACTGGATGAACAGTTCCTCCGTGCCGCTGCCGACGACCTTCAACAGGCGATCGACTTGAGGACCCAGATCCTGAATCAGATGACCTGTGCCGTGGCAGTGGCCGCTCTCGCACGACGAAGATCCCGACGGGGTCGAGGAGTTAGCTCCGGAGGGGACGGTTCCAGATGGTTGAGAACCGCCGGGTGCGCCGAGGGAGCTTCAAGGACCGGCTGGACCAGAGGGTTTCAAGGGGCCTGACGGGCTGGAAGATCCGGAGCCACCAGGACCAGACGGATCAGAAGAGCCCGTGGATCCAGGAAGACCCGAAGGCTGTCCAGAAGGTTCAGCATTCGGAGACGATGAAGCCAACGGCACAGTAGCGGTAGCGGTAGGAGCTGGTCGGAATCCCAAAAGAGTGACAGGCTGGGAGGAAGCAGGCGCCGGATCGCCGGGGAAAGAAGAAACACCGGATGAAGAGCCACCGGGAGAGAGGGACGCTGAAGGAGCAGGAGACTCGGACTCGGGGGCAGGCTGCGGCGGCTCAGAGCCAGAGCCAGAGCCATGATCGCCAATGGGCTGGCAAGTACATTCACCGTCGCGAGCGTAAGGCTGGCCCACGGGGCTCGCCACCGTGCAGGCGGCCAGGACGAGGGCCGTCAAGAAAGAAGCCTTCATTGCTGAAAGAGTGTCTAACGTGTAGTCGACAAGGGCAAGAGAATGACGGGTCGACAAACTGAGGAGAAGAGGAAGGGCAGAAGAAAATGAAGAAAAGAATGGTTGACCTGCTTGATCCTGGATAATGAAGGTGACGAGACAGTCCCGGTAGGGTTGCGGGCATGATATATATACCCGGTCCTGGCCATCGAGGGCGATGATGATGAAGGTATTCGGATTTTGGATGAGTGATCGAAAAAAGTTGACTTTGGCTGAGTAGCCGCAGCTAGTGAAAAACTATTGCCCGTCACAAAGAATTACTCCGAACGAATATGTTGATCCCTCACGGTGATCGGCGCAAAGCTGACTGTTAGTGAGCGAGGCGCGAAACCCAACCTCCATGTTCTAGATTCATGCGCTGACGGGCACTTATCGATCGGAAAATTCTTATCCAGGCTCAGACCGATAAGCGCCTATTCTGGCCGGCGTAGATGCCTCTGACCATCGAATAGAGGTTAGGTGCATTTGGCGGAAAGTTCCTGAAAGGGATTGCGAGTGAGTGGTGAGTGAACGCGTAGAAGATAGGTTTAGTATTCGCATCATGGACTACTCGAGCATCAATCCTTGTACTCTTATTCTCTCCTCGGTATGGACCACAATATGGCGATGGCTTGTAGTCTATCCAAAGTGGCTGTCAATGGTCGATTGCCGGGCTCTCGCTTGGCTGAATGAACAGTCCCCATCTAGACAAGAATTGACCTGAAATCCCCCTAGTCAGGACGTAGACGCATGCAGGAACCAGGATGTTGGCACGAGTTCTTTGTCTGGAACCTGCCCATCGGCCTCGAGCTGAGCCCTAATGCACCGCCTGCATCCCACTATCGATCGCCGGCATAAGCTCAAGCAAACATTTCTATAGAGCACAAAGACTCCCGGCAGGATTTTCTCTCTGATGATAGATATGACCATATAAAAAATATATCTTCTACGTAGGAATTTTAGCTTATGCGATATTGTTCTCCTTTACCCTCCTAACCCCCCGACGGAGTAATTGGGTTTCCGACACGAAGCCTTGGCTTGAAGGATAGCAGAGCCTAGACTTGGAAGCAATTAGACAAAAGTCTTCGCAGGTGGAAAAGAAGGCCTAACATAGGTTGAACGAATGGGGAAAAAGAAGCGAATAGGACTGAAGAACAGCTGACTATTGAGTCCGAGTAATGTGATAGCGCAGGACATCACCACCCAAACAACGAGTTCGAAGTGTCCTTGAGAAAGCACAACTTGGAGATTTGAGACCCATCCCTCCATCCACCATGATACCATCTTGATTGACCTGCTCTACTAGCATTAATTGTTTATTGCTACCAGCCGAGTTTAATCTCATGCTGCTTGGGCGGTCGACGAAACACAAACCACTAGGATTCTATACTGCCTGCACAGTACACCTTTTACATCCTGGATAACAGGTCCAGGCTTCCCACAACGCGTTCCCACAACCGCCCCGGATGGTAGTCCTTAGAACCTACATTCTCCATGAATGGATAACAGCTGAAGAGCTTCATCCTTTTACCAAGACAGAATAGTCACCCGGAAGATATCCCCGCAGCAAACCCCCAAGTATCCGACCCAGAGCCCAACCCTAAGATGTCAACGGAACCAACATGCGTCACCATGAAAACAGACGGTCGGAACAGACCTCCGCGCCGGACTCCTCTCCACGGTCCCAACCCCCTCATAACCCCCTGCAGATCCCAAAACAATGCTATCCAACCTCAATGCCCTGAAACGGAGCATCTCGATCCTTCACCAGCAGTCCACCATCATGGCTAGTGCCTCCCTTGACACGGAGGTGACTGGCCCCTCCGCTCCCTCACCCCAATCCCAATCCCTTCTCGCCCCTCCGCCCACCTTATCAGACCTAAAGCACGGAGCCACCACCTCCCGAACCCTCTGGTACCGCATCCACGTCCTCCTGCACGACCTGAGCAACTTCAACCACCCCGCATCGCAGAAGCGGTTGGGCAAAGTGGCCGACCCGTACTACATCGGGAAGCCATACTTCACCTGGGACGAGGCCCAGCTGATCAAGCGCACCAGCGCGAGCGGCGTGCACGGCCGGACGGTGGAGCAGGTGGTCGAGGAGAAACTCCGGGAGAAGCTCGAGCGCCTCCACCGCAAGAAGCGGCCGATGAGTAGTGGCGGGGATGAGCTCCGGGTCTGCGCCGCGCATGACCTCGCGCCCATCATCGCCAGGTTGCTGCAGATTGATCTGAAGGTGCTGGGGAGGGACGAGCAGTTTGCCAGGTTGGTCGAGGAGCATGGGCTGTACCTTGAAGGGGATAATTGGGTGGGGCTGAAGGGGAGAACGTTTGGTTCGAGGAAGAAGAGGAAGTGAGACGCGGGAAATGGTGTTCCTGTTGGAGGGCCGAAGGGGATGATGCATGCTCGCTTTCTCGGAGCAAAACTTCGGCAGTAGCAGGGTTAGGCGATGTTATTTTGCCCTCTGAACAATGTTCTTCCAAACACTCTTTGGTAGAAATTCGATTTACCCTATGATCGCTACCCTCAAGGTATTATCTCGGAGAGCTTTGACATGACCGAAGCCCAGGGTGGTGGACAATCATCCTTGGTGGTATTGTTGCTGGGGGTGCAGTGGGGGATTGTAGAGGCAAGAGCGGCTGCCTACCTGGCAGGGCATCAAAATATTCATTCTGCCCTCCCAATATCCACACCGAACCGCCCTCCATCCCACCACCCCAATTCAAACACCCATCCGGCAAAGACCCCCCGTCTCAACAACTCCTGATCACCGCACCACTCCGACCCCGCCGGCAGCACATCCGACCTGACCAGATCGGAACCCGCCAGCAGCGAGGCCGCACCCGCAATACTGCACGGATTCACGGGGATGACCTCCTTGGTCTGCAAGAAGTAACACGCAACCAGGACCGAGAGCGCCATCGCAGCCAGACAGCCCTCGAGAATCCTCGTCGACGCTGCGTTCTGAATGAGCCGAACCCGATTAGGCCGGATAAGCGTTCCCGAATATCGTTGCGTTGTTGCATTGGCGGAGAAGACCCGCGAATTGCCGTTGAGCCCTTGCGCCATGAGGACGCGGTAAAGGTGCTGAGTTGCGTTGATCACGGCGGCATAGTGCGAGGGATCGCCGGTGGCGCCAGTGATATCCTCCACCGCGAGGGTCTTCTGATCGTGGATCATGGCCGAGAAAAACTCGTCAAATGCCTGATTCTCGTTGTTGGTCGCCTGCGGAAGATAATTAGGAAACAGCAGGTCCGACGCAAACTCCGCACTGAAGAGTCGGCGGGACGATTCGTTCGCGGTTGCCCCGGCGATCTGTAGACCTGGAAGGGTCAATGTCACGTCGGCATCAACCCGGTCAACATAGGGATCGCAGGTGAACCCTTGCAGCCCCTTCGTGGAGTTCGCCGTCAAGACGCCGTACCACCCCATCAAGGTAGGACAATGGCCCATCGCCACGCTCGGGTTCATGTACTGCAACGAGCCGAATGAGGTGTTGTTCATGGTCGGGTAGTCAGTGCTAACTGCGAAGCTGGACGACATATTCTGGCTGCAGTTGGGATCCAGGTTTAGATAGAGGTTCCAGGCGGAAAGGAGCGCGCTGGGCTCCTTAACCCTGTACACTGTGTCCTCGGCGAGGATCTGGCACTCGAGACGGGCCCGGAGACCGGGGAGCGTCATCTGCAGTACAGAAGAACGGTCCACGCTTCCGTTGGCGGAGCGGTACTGTACAGGACCCTGCTTGCTGGTGAGAGATGCCTCACTGAGAGTCGGCAGCACCAGTTCCTCGTAAGTCCAAGCAGGATAGGAGAGATTGGCTGCAACGACCAGGGCTCCTGTCAGCCCCACGCCTGCATTGCTGGAGGTAGAATAATGTGGGTCGATGGTGGTGTTGAAGCTGTCGACACGAGCGATGGAGACCGCCTGGGAGTGCGCGATCTCCTGGGTGAGGTATAGTCCACTGACGGCCACGGTGAGGATCGGGGCCAGTAGCACGGCGACTGCAGTAGCCCCTACGGCACCTTGTCGGCGTAGGGTGGCCTTGACGAATGAGACGAGTGTCGGGCTGGACAGGTGATTCTCCATGATGCTTCGTGGTGCAGTGACCCCCCCGCGTCGCAGGTCCAGGTAAGGCTGCAGCACGAGAGCCGAGAAGTGAATCGAGTCGAAGAAGATGCGCACTACCAGCATGACTACCGCGGGGATGTACACCCAAGTATACCGAATGTATTCCCCAGACACAGTGCCCAGCCCGTTGTGTCGAGACGAGATCTGGTACGTCGTTTCTAGCCCAGCAATGACAAGCAGAGGCAGCGCAACTGTAATCACCCGCCAGGAGACGGAGACGGATATCGGCTCCCACCAACTCATAGGCCCAGAGGTGATCCGAGTCCGCATACTCTCATTAGCCGTTTTATCAGTTGCGATAGTAAAGCCCAGACAATTGCGTTCGTTGGTGATTTGGGTGTGGTAGCGACGACCATTCAACTCCTCCGCAATCTCCGTCCCATTCTTACTCCGTAGCAGTCGCTCCTCCACAGCAGGGCTCTGTGCTAGAATGCTCGCCAGCCCGGAGATAGTGCCTGGGTCTCGGGGCGTACAGCAAACCGGTCGGAAGAAGCACAACGCTCCAGCGACGACAATCAAAACAGCCAATGTCACCTCCATCAGTCGCACAGAAAGCTCTTTCACGAGCAATCGGTTGACATACGCCGAATACGTACCCTCGAAGGACGTATCCGACGAGGAGAGGAGATACTGCTTTGCCACCTGGGCCGCTATTGCCGCAAACATGGGTCGGGCTACACTCTCCAAGAGCGAGGTATTGAGGAAATCGCGCATGGGGTGCGGCGCGGTCAGATTCGCGATAATCGCGAATGCACTGGGGTAAGTACTGTTCGGGTCCGACAGGTTGTATTCCGCAGTCTTCCAGCCTTTGGTCGAGGTATCGACATAGCCCAGCGTGTCAAGGATATCGGCTGCGGCGGTCAACGAGGACACAAACCCTACCCCTAGATCTGCTGGCGACACGTCTGCAAGGACTCTTTGGGTGGTGTGGTTCGAATGTGGGGGTGGGTCAATACTAACCACACTGTGGTTAGTCTGGCGTAGCGAGACAGAGCGTGGTGCAATGGAGTACAACGGGCTGCAGACCAAGCCGTGGATTTCGGTCTTGTTGGCGGTCCAGTGCGCTGCAGCAACCACCACGCGAGGATCATTCTCTGCATCAACACAGCTAACCGAGAACACGTCTGCGTAGAAGCCCCCAGCAGAGGAGTAGCTTCTCTGGAAGCTGGGGAAACGATACCCACCCGTGCAGGACGAGGTACTGGTACTGAGGGTGATGTTCAGTCGAGTTTGCTCGCACCCGGACGAAGTGCAGCCCTCAGTCCAGTTGGCGACGGTTGCAACCTGGCAGTTCAAGTCCCCAGAGAAAACATCCACCGTTCCGGAGATCAACCCATCGTTACTAGTACCTATACTCGCCGTAAAAGGCTGAAAGGCGTATTCCTCGGTCGTGCCGACAGGGTAGGGCAACTGCTGCCAGCGGGCTCCAGCCACGAGAGTCGCGGCACTCCCATCCACCAGACTCCCATTATACCCCAGCCCTGCGAAGCGGGCTTGAAGGCGAAGCTCAGCAGCCACGTTCTCCATCCAGACATTCTGCAGCATAAACAAACCCGTTGAAGCGACCGTGAGAAGTTTGATCAGCAAGGTGCCGAAGATCGCCAGTATCACCGCCCAATCGCCGTGACACATCGAGCGAAAAAGTGCGATCACGTTCCAGTCCGAGACATAATCCAGCAGGAGGGATCGCGAGGCAGGTTGGGGCCCGGAGTGTGCCATCGCCCTCCAGGGCATGAGTTGCTTGGTGCGATACTCGACCTGGCCCCATAGTGCGGCTACGATCGTCAGGGCTGTTCCCAAAACCCTCTATCAGCAATCGCCCTCCCACTCGGTGCACACGAAAGCTGTCGGAGCACCTACCGGCTGTCGGACCATACGTCCAGAGGTAATGGTATTTGCTTTCGCTGGTGCTGAGACCTTGATTCTGGGCCGAGACAGAAGACAAGACCTCGATGACCACGATCATCGCGGCAAAGAGAAGTGCAAACGCGATCAATGTCGCCGAGCGAAGGATAGTCGGAGTCCAGGCTTGACGCCAGGGGTGAGCGTGATGATTCTCTCCATCTTGTGCGGGGTCGCTTTCCAAGGTAGCTGTCTCCTGTACTAAGGGGGTAAAGGTCTTTGGCTTGTGGATGAGATTTGAGAACATCGTGATCGCATTTCTGAATTGCGCCTTTGTATAGAAGAAGAGTTGTTGGGGCAGGACATAAACATGCACATCTTATAAGATGCGAGGGGTTAGCATGCACCGCCTCAGTTAGCGCCTGCACAGGGATTGTGCCAAGACAAGGCTGAATGAAGGTTGCCGTGCCGGGTTGTACGAGTAATAGAGGTGAACAGAATCAAGACCGGTTCTTATCTAATTGACTGTTTTAGCCTACTTGGTATTTTCACGCGGCGAGGCGATGCGGTGAAGGCTAGAAACTTGTGCGAACAAAGATCAAAGACCGGACGCGCAGGATGAACGAAGTATTCAAGGCGATTGTATCTTCAACAGATAAACCAAACCCGACAGAAAGACGGGGAGAAAAGGTCTCCACAGTATTTTTATCGCTCAAGGGCGGCAAGGATCCTGCCCCGGAAGCTGTAGGAAAGCTAATCCATCGATATCAAGCCCACCACTGAAATCAACAGGAACTTTGAGTACCGTCTCCGTCTTACTGGCAGGAGAGTACGGGACTGGGGTAGATTGTCCGATACACAGTGGTATGAGCGAAGATTTCAGAACAGTAACCGGAGGCTTTGAGAGGCCCGGGCCATTGCACCAGTTTCGTCACGTTACAGTCACTTACTCTCGACCTTTGTGTATGGATCTGAGAATCAGGGGGCCAGTCGTCTGTAGAGTTGATTTCAGTGCGAGCAATGACAGAATCGGGGGTGTAAGTCGCTATTGCATATTTTTTGAGAACGGGATAGCATGGCTGGAAGATCCATATCGAATTTCAACCTTGTGAATGTCTCAGGGATTCTAGGGCAGCATATAAGGAGGTTTCCGGTTAGATGTAAAGGGTCTCGTGGTGAAAGGATGGGGGCGGGTTTAACATAACAATTATCCAACGCTGGGCGATCGGCATCATGTGCCTAGTGCGTGGAGAACTCATTGACGCAGCATTTTCTCTCCTCTACTCTCTTGAATGGTCGGCATCACGAGGAGAAGAAAAAGAAGAAGAAGAAGAAGAAGAAGGAGGAGGAGGAGGAGGAGAAGGAGGAGAAGCAGTCAAAAGGAGAAACTCAAGGAAGAGGAAGAGGAGGAGGAATAGGGAGAAGAAGATACAAACACCTGATACAATTCCAGAGGATTAGCTGGTAGTATGTCCTTAGATAAGACTACCATACTGCCCCTGACAACCTTTCCCATCGGCAATTGATTGATGATATTACGACCACGACGGGATGTGGAGTCAGTCGCCTAGACAAGAAGAATGAGAGACCCTCATTTACCACCCTTATCACCTCGAAGCGCAAGGAACACTTTAGCCTCGCGCGACTTGACAGAACTAGGAGTCCCAAGAGGTAGTCAAGGTGATTGTGGATTTTTGTTTGCTAAATGTGACGAATCGCATAACAATACCGAAAGAGAAGCAAACCATTGAAGTCCTTCCACCATGCTTAGACAGATCTGACAGTTCGTGTCCGTCTAGCGCGATTTGTTTTTACAGGGGCACACTTAGCAGGAACTCCAAGTTCCATTAGGCGACAGGCTAGCCATATGTCATCCAACAGTTGTCATGCATTTGCGCAACAGAGCAATCGGAACCCGGACGCGGGCGCGCTAGAGTTGTTAGTATTGCTTTTCTTAGATGCACCAGACGCACGGAAGGCCCAAGTGCCATGTGGATCCACCACATGGTAACATTAGAGCTGATTGTTTCTCGGCCGGAGGCCGGAGGATCAGAGTATCACTTGAAATGGTAGTCGATTTGCGAGTGGACGGGCTTGCTCTCACTGCTGGGGCTCTAAACCGCAACGGCTATTTTGTTATACCCATCACATCAGCCCGCCACGACCTCATGCACCGCACACACATTTCGAACACGAAAAGCGAATCCACTGGCTACAGGATGTGTAGTTTCTCGGCTAGATGCAAAAGCTGGTGAGAGCCACCGCGCTTAAAATTGCCAGTCTCCTTTTCAGCTCCCGCTTGGTGACGGTTCGAGCGAGACCGCCACAACCATCAGACAAATCACGCTGCAAGATCAAGGCTTCGTTAAACATATTATGCGACGCAATTTGCTTGGTTTGGAAACCTAATCCCGAGGACTCAAGCCGAGGGTAGGGGATTCCAAATAATATACTTGTCTCGATGTGATGGGGACTAGTAGGATGAGGTAGATGGGACTGTCAGTCTCTCACGTCGGAAGACCTTTCGCACGGGAACTCTGCATGACGCGTTCATTCTGAAGCCAGCTGAAGGGACTGGCGCACGCAGAAGCCCATGGCTGCCACATGGGCCATTTAAACATGACACCGATTGGACGGACAGTTGTTGCCGCTCGGCTTGAGTCGACTTGTGCGGCCCCTCCGAAAAGGAGGCGGGATTGGGCGGAAGCTGAAGAGGGCAGTGGGCGAAGCATTGATAATATGGCAAGAACAAGCGAGGGGCGACAGGTGAAGGAACTGAAGAATTCCGAGGGTGGAGGCGGGGTTTTGCACGGGCAACGAGGCCCGGCCCGTATACAACAAACCATGGGGTAAATCGAGCCGACGAGCCCTAATCCCGCCACCCCAAGTTCCTGCATCCACTCCGTTCCTCAGCTTCCACCAGCTGGAAGATCACAGCTGAGCAAGAATGCTCAGACCAAAGCAACGGTGAATGCGCTCAGCTGAGAAAAAAAATATGACCTCGTTCACTCACATCAGCGAAACCGCAATCACCTCAAAATGTATAAAGGGCCTAGCAAATCCTCCCTCATGCCAGTAGACTCAGCAGCGAGCATTCCATCTCTTTACCACATTGTTCCATCATACTTCTGCAATTCACCAGATCTTGTGCTTTTTTTCTGATCTTTCAACTACAATCTTCATCCCTTTTTTCCTTACCCGACACAAATCTCTCTGAAGTCCTTTCTTTTGAACTCATCCTCATTGACGCCATGGCCCCCGCTATCTTGAACGAACCTGAGGTCCCTATCACTCCTATCCCTGTCACCAAAGAGCTTAATGGGGCCATCAAGCCAGCCAAAAGCGTTGAAAGCCCGACCATGGCCCTGACCAAATCCAATGGCAATGGTGCCGTCAAGGCGCCCGCCAACGGCCATTCCAACGGCAAGGTAGATGGTTTCAGCGACGAATTGGCTGTCGCCAAACCAATTTGTTTCTTCCCCACTGAGGAGGGAAGTTCAGATGTGCTGAGGGTATTGGACTACAACCCGGCAATTTTGAATGATGCGGCCACCATTGAGTGGATCGCAGGTCAACTTCATAAGTCCAATATTGTCAACAGTCACCAGCTCCACAAGATAGAGGTTCATCATGTTGAGACAGAGCATGTGCAGGATGCCGAATATATGCAAGATATCCTCGAGCTCAAGCGGACGAAGCACACCTCCGATGAAGCTTACATTAAACTCCGGACCAGTATGACCAAGCACCTTCGGAAGGCCCAGGCCGACTCGGAAGGCCTCATGGTGACCATCGCCAAGCTCTCCGACGATTTGAGTCTGGCGCAGCGGGCCGAGGCCCTCGCCAAAGCCGACAGCAAGGCGGCGCACGCACTCCATCAGCAGCTCAAGGCAGAAATCGAGACCGTGCGCCACGCGTTGACCCACGCTCGCAAGCAGCTGATCAAGCTGGTTAAGGAGCGGGATGACGCGGTGCTGGAGTCCGACAAAGCGGAGGGACTCCTCAATATCCGGGATGCAGCGGTTGCGCGGCTCGACGACGAGGTGGAGCGGCTGGTGAGCCAGGTCGATTCCTTGCGAGTGAAACTCTCCGATGCTGTCAAGGCCAGAAATGCCGCAGCGCTCGACGAGCTCAAGGCGCGTCAGCAACTGACGCGCGAGCAAGAGACTTGTTCGACCTTGCGAAAGAGGGTCGCAGAGCTGGAACACAAACACGAGGCCAAGGCGGAATTCATCCGGGGTCTGGAGGCTACAATCCACGAGCTCAGGGCCCAACTCACCCACGCCAGGACGGAGGTGCAGGAGGCATTGGAGGATAAGGAGGGCCTCAAAACCAAGTCCCGCGCGCTGGAGGATCAAATCCGGGACGCTGTGGAGGCGGCAAGTGCCGCCAATGACACTTTAGACGTGGCCAAGAAGCAGCTTGAGGAGGCTATTTCTACTCGAGAGCACGCTGAGGAGCAACGCACTGCGGCTGAAATCGCCTGGACTCGCGCCGAGCTGGAGAAGCAGGACGCAGAAAGCAAGCACCGAGCCATCCGAGAGCAATTCATGAAGCTCGAGGCGGATTACGCGCAAGAGCAGCGCGAGAAGGCGACCCTGAAGGAGAAGCTTTCCAAGGCGGAACAACGCGCAGAGTTAGCTTGCCATTTCACGCAGGAGGCAATCGAATGGGGTCAAGCGCTCAATCTTACCAACCATGAGCTGTTCGAGCAGTACAAGAAATTGCATGATGAGAAGGTCCAGGCAATTGAGCTGCGGTATGCGGAACGCCGTGAGAGAGCCGACTGGCAGGAACAAGCCAGATTGGCCCAGGCCAAGGTTCGGGAGCTGACTGAGGCCTTCTTCAGTGTCTCAAAGCAGAAGGACCGTGCTCAGAACGTCTTGGATGAATTTCAGAAACAATACAATCAGCTCAAGGAGGGACACCTCCACGAACAGCTGGGATCCCAGAACGAAATCGACCATCTCCATAAGGAGAAAATGGGGTGGGAGAAGGTGATATCGAAGCTGAACACCGAGATCGATATGGCCAGGATTCAAATTGAAAAAGCGGAGGCGGCGAAGATCCAGGCCGAGGTGGCGCGTCAGAAGGCAGAGGCGGAGTCGGTGGAGGAGGCGAGGCAGCATGCGAAGGAGTTGGAGGAAGTGAAGGCGCGAACTCAGAGAATGGCGAGTGGGTGGGGAGAAATCGACCGCGACAATAAGGCCCGTATCGACGAGCTCGTGAAGAGGGCTGAAGAAAAAGACGCGACGATCCAGGGCCTCAAGGATGACCTTGCCGGGATCCAGAAAGTCTTGAGCCACGGCCACAGCTTCGGGAAGATCGCGATTCACGACATCTTCCTGGGCGGCCAGCGAGTGCAAGACGATTCGATCTACCAGACAATCGGGGGGCACTATGGATCCGTGGAGAAGCTTCCCCTGGTGCGATGCTTCCCGGATGAGATGGACAAGAAGAAGAAGTTGGCGGTGGTGTACACTGTCAAGGGAGAAGAGATTGCTCGGACGTTAGAGGTTGGAGTGAATGAAGGATTGAAGTTCCCGCCCAGCAGCACTGCTACTCCTGCCACCACCAAGTCCACTCCTGCCACTCCTGCTACTGCCACCCCGACTACGCCTGCCACCACTACTGCCACCGCCAGTACCCCAGCCAAGGCCACCCCCGCTGCCGCAGCCCCGACTATCCCGGCTACTCCTCCCACTGCTTGAATGTTTCACCTCCACCTCCACGACTGTCACTCATCACTATCACTCACTGGCAACCGCCTTTGTTCCTTATCTGGCTGATGCGTTTTTGTATTCCATCTCGCGCCCCCTTTAACTGCATACAATCTTTGCTTTTTCTTTTCCATGATCATGTCTGTGTCCAATTCATGTGCGTGCATAATGGTTCCTACTTGTTAATAGGTCAATGCATACTATTCATTTAGTAAACATCCTTTACCTAAATTCCTACATAGTTTTGTGTGCATGTCCCAGCCAGAAACATTATGCCTAGGAGGAAGGTCGCCAGGACATACGACGTTTTCCATCCCGAGGGAGCATGTGCACAACGCCCGCGGTGCCATAGATGACGAAGACAAGATCCCTGCCAGGCCCGAGCCGGTAGAGAGAGCCTAATTCGAAAGTGACTTCAGGTCCGATCACGATGAAGAGGCCTGGTTGGTGAAAACAAGAGAGAGTCGGTGGAGGCGTGGCAAAGGTTATCCGATGTATGGAAAGGGAGGTTCAGGTCAGCTATTCACTGCAGCGATGGAGCGTTGGCAGGGCCAAGGGCTGCAACGACCAGACGATGTAGATCTGGATTTGAAGGTTGGATAGATTGAAAGACTTGTATAGTACTCAAGGCCCACAAGATGCAAAAGATATATGCCTGTGTGCAATCTCAGGTAGGAAGGCTCAATTGAATGCCCGTTGTACGCAGATCACGTACGTGCATCCTTTTCTGGCGGCGTTGCAAATGTGAATATATGTGGCTCTTGGAGTTCTTTTGCCATTGTGTAGATCCTAACTCACTGTTGCAGGAGATGGTAAAACGACACATTCTTTTCTTTTTTTTATTTTTTCTTTTTTTTTCGGGAACGAGAGACTGTGCGATCAAGTTTCAGGAGAGCGGGTCATAGAAAATGTTATCATCTGTGACATGGATCTCAGGAACAGGGTGATTGGAGCATATGATGTTGAGAAGCGAGCCTCTGCGTCACTCGTTCCGCAATTCGTCTGACTATATATCGCGGCCTTGCTGAGGATCGGTTTACAGACTGTCCTATAATCACCCTACATCTATAATTCAGCCCGATTGACCTCACATATATCATTCTGCTTATCAGCCAGCCTCCCGTTTGCTGTCGTGGTGATCAATCCCTTCTCCGTGCTACGAGTATGCCACCCGCCTGTGGGCGATGATGTCATACTTTGTAGTTATCTATCTGGAAAGTTAACTAGTTATGACCCCCTGGCTTACCAATCTACAACCAAAAACTGGTTTACTTACTGCAGTAGAGAACACGCAAGTCCCCTCAGCAGACTTCTCCATAGTGTCACATTGTGACTCTGCACCATAGCCTTGCCTTGGTTCCTTTGACCTCGCCATAAACAGCACTATCCAGCAGCACAATCCACCATGTCAACCTCTTCCACCTCCACCAACCAACCATCGCAAACCTCAGACACGAACCGCTCCTCGGACCCCTTCGTCGTCCAGGGAACCTGCTACTGTCAGCGAACCACCTACACCACAACCGCCCCCTTATACGGACTAACATACTGCTACTGCCGCATGTGCCGCCTCCTGCACGGCGCTCCCTTCGCAGCATTCACGAACGTGGAGTCGTCTCATTTTCACTGGGCCAGGAGCGACCGTCTGGTCGAGATCAATCTGAGCCAGTATGCCACTCGCACGATCTGTGGTGACTGCCACAGTCCCATGACGATGGTCTACCATGCCAAATCACACGAGGTGGGCATTGTGGCTGTTACGGTTGATGAGAGGAACTCTAAGGGCAAGGTGCCGGAGACGGTAGGAGAGCATATCTTCTTGGAATCTAAGCCTGCTTGGTTTGTTATTCCGGAGGATGGCGGGGAACGGAGTATGGGGATTCTGGAGAGGATGAGGGGGGTGGTACCGGAAGGGTTATAGGCGTTTATGGTCGATCTCAGATCCTTGAGGCAGGTGACTTACTAGGGATTCTTTTATTTTTCGAATGCCTCGTACGGGTTACATATCCATTTCGACTTAAGATTCTTATTTGGGATACAATCCCTGAGTAGCAAGAAAGCAGAGGAGATCTCCCTGGTTGCTTCAATGTTATTCTTGATATCCAAGGCACACTTCGAAGGATTATCGATAGTAGAAGTCTACATACTACTTATCTGTCTAGGTACTCATACTACGAGTCCACCTGCACCTTAATATAATACCGAGTAGCCCACTGAACTAGGTATCCGCTGGACACTACCAGGAAAGAAGTTGTAAATACCAAAACTGTCGTCTGCAACGAGGAACTTTCTCTCTATAGGCAAAATTGAATTCCCGGCTAGATTATCATGAGCTGAGACTACGCACGTGATGATGAAATGACTAGCCAAGGAGGCTGACCTGTCTTGGTCTGCAGGCTGAATTTACCCCGCCGCTCGCATGTTTCTCCTGCAACACATTGCAGCTACAAACCTCCCATCGTCTAGAACGAGGGCTTCCAATGTTTCATTTCATGGTCGAAACTCCGGGTTACAGATCGGAAATAATTCTGGCATGGTACACTGGGTCAGTACCTATACAGGCAGGTTACACCGAGCTTCCCATGAAGGTTGAGTTGTCTAAAGATAGCCCAAAAGAAAGACCCTCTGGATAGACTGCCGATCGCGCCCGGGGCTGCGTTCAACTCGCATACAGCAGACCAAGATGACGATGAATGTCTACCTGGCACTAGAATCGACCTTCTTCGTCAAATCACCGAGTGGGCCCTTTCGCCCGACGAAAAGTGTATATTCTGGCTGCATGGTATGGCTGGAAGCTGGAACAGGGAAGTCAACGATATCACGGACTATTGCGAACTTGTTGAATGTTCATGGCTCAACTGCGGCGAGCTTCTTCTTTAGGAGAGGCGAAAAGGATCGAGGAAATGCAAGGCTTCTCTTTACGACAATCAGCAAGCAGCTTGCCGTTGGCATCCCCGAACTGATTCCGGACATACGAGGGGCAGTCTCCCGCGATCCTGATGTTGCGGTGAAATCACTGAAAGAACAGTGGGAGAAGCTGGTTTTGGAGCCGTTGATGAATCTAGTCCAAACTACGCCGCGAAGCTCAGTGGTGATGGGACCGCCCGACTGTGGGATACTGCGACTTGTGCCACACAGGAAGAATCGGAGGCCATGAACACGAGATTAGCTCAATGCAACTCTCGCCTGATGGGAGGCTACCATTATCTCTGTCCTCGGGGCCGACGATTCGCTTATGGGATGTTGCCACAGGGGCGCAGCAGCACATTCTTCAAGGCCCGTCAAACTCGTGCATACAGTTAGTCACATTTTCTCCTGACGGACGCCTGCTGGCGTCTTATTCAGGAGTTATTCTCTGCATTTGGAGTATTTCCACTGGCACTTTACTGCGGAAATTGGAACAGTATCCACTTGTGGTCCAGTCGATGGCCTTTTCCCCAAATAACCGGTTGCTGGCTTGCGGAATGGCAAATAACGCGACCGGGGAAAAGATTGTGCGGCTCTGGGATACCACCACTTGGACTGCACACGGAATTCTCACTGTTGCTGGATCTGCAGTGAGAATGGTTGCATTCTCTCCCAATTCCCGCTTCATCGCATCTGGAAATGACGATCATGAAAACCAACTCCGACTCTGGGATACCAGCACGTGGAATCTAATACACATCTTCAAAGGCTGTGCGAAATCACCCGTAGTGTTCTCACCAGATAGTCATCAGATCTGTTTTATAACGTCTGATAATTCAATTCAGCTCTGGGATATTGCTACGAAGACCATGCGACAGACATTTAGGGGCCATAGAGATTTACTTACAAATGCGGTGTTCGCTCCTAAAACCCGCCTGTTCGCGTCTGCCTCCGAAGATAAAACAATTCGAGTCTGGGACCTTGATACGGGCGCTCTGCATCAGCTAATTGAGGTCCCGGAAGTGACGCAGAGCCTGCGGTTTTCTGCGGATGGCTCTTATCTGAGCTTCGATCATGGGTCTTTCGAAATCCGGCGGCCGGATCAGACAAGTTGCAATGATGCTGCCTCCAATTCCGCCACTGGATATATATCCGTGGTGGAGGAGCATTGTGGCTCCCTCCTCCATACCGGCCCTCCTGCTCAGCTAGTATAGGTGATACTCTGGTTTTGGGGCATTCATCAGGACGGGTGTCATTCTTCTCGTTTGTGATCGACTAGTCCTATCCTTATTCTAATGAGATTGTGACTGTCTCTTTTCTTCTTCTTCTTCTTCTTCTTCTTCTTTCCAGGCATTGTGTGGGTTGTGCTTTAACAGCTGTGGCCACTGTGGCGCTGCCATAATGTGGCGAATGCCTTGAAAGTGCTTGCGAAGATCTGGGCCCGTCGAGCTACGGAAGGGTCATCTCGACGTTGGATCGAATATGTCTATGAGTGGGGTGACGATTGGATGTTCATATAGTCAGTCATAACTATTACATTGCTTATACATCCGGACTTTCTATCCTAGGCGACCATTTTTACACAGGCACTCCACATGCTCCGAAAAGGATTTGTTCTGGCACCATTGACGCGAGCTTTTTAGATGGAGAGCCATCATCTTGAAAGATACGGACAGCAAGAGGCTGATGTCACAGTCGTCGAGACTGGGCAAGCGCTCGGAGTCAAAAATTACATTTGTCGTACCGCAGATCATCTGTAGGGACATGCATACATCTTGGCCAAGGCTGGTTGGTAGCCGGCTGCTGATAGAGCGCAAAAGACAAAGGTTCTAACCCATCTGCAACATCGGGTCACGAGGTGCCTAATCTTGCGCCACTAGCCCAAAGGTTAGGGTCTGCGGCCGTACTTAATCCGGGGGCAGTCACGGAAGGAGTTGAGAAGACCCTACAGCTCTTGCAATTCGAAGTTTCGAAAGCTGTGGCAATCACGAAAATGGTTGGTTCGACAACTGTAACGACGTCCCCCCATCCACCACCAAAGTATGGCCATTGATATAGCTAGCCGCCGGCGACGCCAGAAACACCACTGCATCCGCCACCTCCTCCGGGTCCGCCAGCCGTCGCATGGGCAGATCCCCCAGCATCGTCGCCTTGACGGCCGGCGCCTGGTCCAGAAACTGCTCCATCATCGGTCCGGACACGTACGAGGGCGCCACGGCATTGATTCGGATCCCGTTGCCCGCGCTCTCGAGAGCTGGGGTTCCAGTTTCTTAGTGTCAGCAACAATACGCGAAAGAGGTACATTTAGAAAGAAGGAACCCTCACCAGCTGTCTGAACCAACCCTTTCACCGCATGTTTGGCGGCACTGTAATTGCCCACACCCAAAAACGCCCCCTCGGAGGCCAGCGAGGTTAGAATGACAATGGACCCCCGGGTTTGGTTCCTTCGCATTCTGCCGGTAATCGACTTGGTCGGTTCCTGGCTGGCCATGGCTCGGATCACCTCGCGGACGATTAAGAAGCACCCGATGTTGTGCACCTCGTCCATGCTTCGATACGCTTCTAGGCTCATCTCGCTAATTGCGGTTTGGTTGGCAGAGGCGGTCTTTTTTTCTTGCCTCGAGTGATATGTGGTTAGCTAGTGGTCCATATGTGGTCAAGCATGGAACAGCAAATATGACGGATTGGTTGTCCTGTACCCCGGCGGTATTTACGCAGATATCGATGCGGCCATACCTATCCTTGGTCTTGGCGACCAACTCTCGCACTTGCGCCTCATCGCGCACGTCCACCTGGTAAGCGATCGCCTCGTAGGCTGGTCGTCGCTCCGCGAAAATGTTGTAGCTGGACTGGGCGGTTTCTTGGGCGTGAGCGAGATCGATGTCGGCGCAGACGAGAGTGGTGAGGCCCTGCGCGACCAGAGTGTAGGCGACTGCGCGCCCAATGCCACTTCCTGTGATTCGCTTAATTTCGATCCATAGTCATCGATAATGAGGACGTATGTACCAGCACCAAAGACCAACGCGACACCTTCCACCTGCATATTGGGGGGCTATGTAGAGTAAATTGATTTTTGTGGTGGTGAGTGTTGGGTCTTAGCAGATTGGTCAGTTGATTGACTCGCCGACTTTTATTATGTTTAAATACTCAAGACACTTCGAAGTACGTACTTTTGGGAATCCAAATCATTCGATTTGTGAGGCTCTGGCGTGACTGTAATGGGGCCATGCATGGTTAAGTTACTGTACGTACTTTTCAATTACTGTTAGCGCGTACGCCGTACCGTTAGCGCTGACCGTTAGTGCTTACGGTGTCTAAGAACTTATAAGGATCGACCGGAGACTTGCTGGAAACGAATAAGACTATGATTGAGGGGTTAGCCGTGGCAGCGGGCCTTCCCATTGTTGGTCATTGCATGATACGGCCAGATATCAATGCTGCGAGCCAATTGATCCTAATCTCCAAGTCTCCAAGTCACCGTGTTTGTTGCCCGCCATTGCACTATTTCAACTCCCGGCCATGGCCATCAGCAGCAGCAACCGCCGCCGCTCCTCATTACCCAGCAATTAAATTCCCTCATCGCCTCAGTCATGCCGTGGACTGCAGCCAAGGACTCGCCCAACACCTTCACACGGCCCCTGGGCCCCAATGAGACCTTTATCAAGTTAGTCAGTGACCCGGGCCACCCCCTGGGTCGGGAACACTGGGCCGTCAACTACACCGTCGCCATCCAACCTCATGGGGATTCTGCGACTGCGGATCTTCTCCCACCCCTGATCCGCTACAGTTGGTTGCATCTGCGCTTCCAGCACCCAAGTCTGGCTGCGCATCCCGACGCCTCCAACACCAACCTCGTCTATACGGTGCCTGATTCGGCCGATGCGCTTAGCCAATGGGCCTCCGAGACCTTCTCCGTCGAGGCCGACGCCCAGTGCGCCGACGATGTAATACGTCGCATTGCCCCAGCCCCGGACGCTCGACTGTACTACATCCCCGAAACCGGTGAACTGCTCCTGCACAGCGCACACTGGCGGATGGATGGAGTGGGCGGCCTCCTTCTTTTGGGTCAACTGGTTGACCTGATGGCCTCGCACTGCGGAGAGGAGGAGAAGAAGAAGCAGCTGCGGCCCGAAGACGCGTTTGAGGCCTTTCCCTGGGGATCGGAGGTAGAGCGGCTTGCGCCCCCCGTGGAAGAAGCGGGCAACATGCCCCTCACGGCGACCGAGGAGCAAAAAGCCATTGCCCACGGGGCGGTGGGGACCTTTGCGCTGGCGGCCGGGGCGATGGGGGTGCCGTATCTGGGGGACGGCTCGACGGTACCCTCGGGTACACGGGCCGCCGAGCTGCGCTTCTCACCCGCCATCACCGCCGCCGCCGTGGCCGCCGCCAAAGCCCGCGGGATCAGCATAACCGCGGCGGTGCATGCCAGTCTCGCCGCCGTCAACTTCCGCCGCGCCATTGCTGACCACCGCCACCAGAGCCGCCACTACACCAGCACCATCAAACAGTCGCTGCGCCCGTACCTGCCTCCACCTTATTCAACCCCGGCGATGGCCGCCGCGCTATTTACCTCCGGCTGGTTGGCCCGCGTGGACCCTGCCTCCAACACCTGGGAGGAGATGGCCCGCAAGTACCAGGCCGAGTACCAGAAAGGGATCAGTAGCGACTATCTCCAGGGCCACCGCGAGTATGCCTCCATCTTGGTCGAGGTCATTCGCAATCTGCCCACCCCGGAGGAGCCCCCCAGCGACATCGATATCAGCAGCATGGGCATCATGGAACAATATCTGCAGCGCGAGTATGGCACCCCCGAGCGTGGGTTCAGTATCACCCATGCCGGAGTCGGGGTGGAAATGCTGTCGCGCCAGGGCGTGGTCTTTGTCTGGACGTTTCGGGATCAATTGACCCTTCGGCTGGTGTATAACGAGGCCTTCCACCCCCCTGAACAGATGACGGAATTCTTGAAGGACGTGCAGGCGGACTTGTTGACGCAATTGCAAGTGGTGGAGTAGATGTTGAGAGAGCAAAGCAGAGAATGCGACCGCTAGAAGAGTGTGATATGTGGGAAGAAGAAGGTATAAACCACCAACTTAGTATCTCTCAGCCATAGTAGCCAGTAGCCGTCAGCATGCAAAGATAGTATGAATTCAATGATAACAGCTTACTACCTTCGAACTGAAGATATACCCTCTACCATGATTATTTATGATGACAAGGCCATGCATCCCAAGTCAAGAGCTGCTGGAAACGATTGCTACAAGATTGCTACAAGATTGCCAAAAGACATGAGGATGAAGACATCTCCAGAATCCAGGAGGAAGAGGGGATGGCGAGGTCGGGTCGGGTCCGCAGCCCCTTTCCCAACATGACAATCCTCAAGGCCTCTTGAGTCAGGCTGCTCACCGCTCGCCACGCCCATGTTGATTGTTCTTCGGTCAGACACCCTCACGCAGCTGACTTCATCACTCATCCACGTCCCCCGACCAGAGCTGCACCTTACTAGAGCCGCCATAGTACTTGAAACGCTCCTTCACTTTTTGCCAACAGTCTTCGAAATTGGCTTAATCGAAGTGGGTTCCAATCGGTACGAACAGGACCTTGTGCTGTACTGTACTTGTCAGCTGCCAAGCCATTTCGTCGCTGACCTGCTAGTCTGCTAGTATAGGTATTAATTTCTAGATACGACCTGACGATTATCACCGTTCGGCCACAGAGAATGTCAAAACATCGACCCAGCCGATGGTTTGCTCCAAAGATTGCAGATTCTGTCACGACACCTAACAAAAAAGCAAAGGCAATCTCCGCATTTAGACACTATCTCGTGTTGCTTCGAAGGTAGTATTCACATAAATGTGATGCCGGCTATCTTTCGGGGTTCTCTGTGGGCCACCGCTGTCCAGGAGGATGGCCTCTCGATCTACTTCTTCTGCTACTTCTCCGAGAGGATGGAATGATCGTTTGCCACTCAGCAAGTCCGCCGTGTTACTTGGCTTGCTGGCGGATGATGATAATGAGAAGGCGCTGTTCCGGAGCGGCTGTGTTCTTCCGCTTCTTGCGAGCCAGCGACGCCCCAGGTCCGTGATATTCGGAAGGCAGACCGACATGAGCGAGATCGGGCCTTCACACTGCACCCAACAGATATATTCGATGGTGGTCCAGGTGAGATCGGCTTCCAGGGCCGAACCCGCCTTGAGAAGAGTGATGAGGCGACCGACAGATACGACGACCACTCTGAGAGCACACACGCCCCTTGTTAGACCGACTGAGAACTTTCTCCCTTCTTCTGACAAAGGGGAGGGAGCACTCACGAGTACCCACAAATGAAGAGGCCGATGAGCATGGCCTTCTTCGCCCGAGTCATATGCAACGACCAGAGCAGAGGCAGCGGGATCAGCAGGATGATCAAATCCAGGATGGCACTCGGGGCCGCGGTCCCGGTGAAAAACTTCCACTGCGTGACGCATTTTGAACCGGCCACGGCTTCCCACGAGGCTCGGACGGGTGTACACTGAAAGGCTGTGGCCAGCCACGACCCGATCAGCCAGAAGACGCACAGGGCACCCACCGCTGCGAGTGTCGGGCGGACCCAGGGGCCTCCGCCCCGTTGGAAGATCCGATGGTAGAAGCAGAGCACCGATAACTTGGGGAAGGTAATGCTGGCATCGTACAGAAAGGCGGCCGCGAAGATGATCTTGGGACCTGCGAGTTGATGGCTGACGGGTAATGTGGCGATATGACGACCCAACCCCAGGGAGATCCAGTAGAAGATAAGGGACGATTCGGCAATAATGAAGGGCTAGAATGATTCAAGGGGTCGGTTAGTTCCTCAATCGGTATGCCCAATGCTTCTTTCGTGGAAAGGGGGGAGGACGGCCCGCACCAAAGTCAGGATGGCAAAGGCATCATCATAACCAAACCTGTGAGTGTGGGAGCTCCAGATGGACCAGCAGCGGAGGGCGACCGAGGCTACAGCTGATGTGAGCATTACCACACAAAAGGCAATGAGCCCCGGTTGCTGGTTGCCATCGGTGTCTGCAGAAGACATCGTATGTTGTCTACCGTCTCACACACACACACACACTCTCTCTTTCGGATTGGAAGGATTGGGAGGGAGCTCATAAACCGAAGCCATTCGACGAAAGGAGGGGGAAGCCGATCAAAAATCAGCCTGACTGACCATGGCCATCCTCTTCCGAGACTACTACTTAATTAACTCACCCATGTAGGGGGGGCAGAGGGCGAGGCTCTGGCGCTCTGCAGGATTAGTGCCGTGGCGTGGCTGCATGATTTAATCTATCTAGCACTGGGGGCGGAAAGATTTCGTTACACAACACCTGGTAATTTATTTATCCCCTACCCCGAGTATAAGAGAACAAGGGAAAGGTATTATCAAATGTAGAATTCTGGCCATCAGTGTTCTTTTCAGCATCCGGAAACTTGATTGTATCTGATCATTGCTGATGAAACCACCGACTAAAAAAGGTTTATGGCAAAATGTATATGGGTATAGGATTTACCGTAAAAAGGTACAGTAATTCAAGCCCATCTGGGCGACTTTCGGAAGGGTAACATTAAGTAGATCTACACAGTAGACTTTACAAGTCTAAAGGAAACCCCTCACTCACACTACATTAGCTAATTTCTGACCTCCTGCCAATAGTACAATAGATACAGACAGTAACCTCGGCTCGAGCGAATCCCTGTCAGGGCAGTGGTCAAGGACCCACTCACCTATCACGTTCAACTGTGCCGGCCAAACGCACGCCCAGCACGGGCCAGATACTCATTGTCAACTTAGACTCAGACCACATCGGCATCCGAAAGGCTGCTCCGCCACCCGCGACGGGAGAGGCGGGACCCGGCTAGGGCTAGAGGTACCGTACAGTAATCACATTACTTATCAGGTCCGGTACAGTACGGTACAGTCCACTGGCACATAGACTAAGGTAACTTAGTGAGTGACCGACCAATCCGTGAGACAATCCTTCTCGTGCCGCTGGCAAACCATCCGTGATCCTCACGCAATCCACACTCGCCTTTCCC